ACAATAACCCACTGAGATATTGCATTCTTGCCGGAATCAATATTTTCGGCACCTGTCAGATCTGAAGTTCAACATGCGAGGTCTGCGTCTATGTCAGGTTAAAGGTCTGCAAGATGTTTAGCAACACTGGGGCGTAATAGTCATAGGCCTGCTCCAAACAACGGAATATATATCTTGTTAGAAGGACTTCTCCGACATTGAAAATTGCAGCAATGCAACATCACATTTACTTGTGTGACATTTGCTTTCGGGCTCTGGGTTCATGGATCGTCAATTTAAACAGGACAATCAAGACAAATTTTACAAAAGGTACAGTGGCCCAACATGCCAATGGTATACTCAGAGAACGCACCCGCCTGTGCCATCCAGAAATAATCGCTACACGATAAAAACTATTGTTTGTGTGGCGTTATTACAGCATAAAGTCTGAGCGGAAGGAGAAATAACATGGTTCAGGCACTGTGAGACTAATTAAGAAAGGTCACATGCAGTGCAATAATATTCAATTATGTACTGCCAAAACTTTTACAGTACTGATGCGCGAGCTGAAGAGACTTAAGAAATTACGAGTTGGTTCGTGTAGCGTATTTTTGCCGTGCTCAAAGAGAGATAGACTAATGCTTAGTCTGTGAATATATATATATTTTGATAGTAACAGACAATCCCATTTAAATTGGAAAGGAGCCCCAGGGAGACAAGAGATTCAGAACCTGTGGAAATCTAGATTTGCTTTATTTAGGGCTTAAGCACTGCAGAGAGGGCTTGGCAGCAGGGAAAATAATGTGGTTCAGGGACTGTGAGACAGACTACATGGACTACAAGAGAGATAAAGTGCTATTCTGTTGGGACAGCTAGGGACACTTGCAAGGACGAAGGGCAGCTCATCGCCCTTTGTTCACCACTCACAAGATTTTGCAAACACCGCAGACAAAGCGTAACTGATACTGGCAACAAGTGCGAGCGCAGCTTAATAAGCCATGTTAGCTTGTGTAATACCGCTTTCTTTAGTCAGGCTCTTTTGATGATAAGAATAATGAGGTCACGTGAACGTTGATTTCAAACGTACTAAAATGTGTGAAAATGAAATTACATGAACCAAGTAATTCACATGATGGAAACAAATGATCATCTTGCTTGAGCACAGGTAACATGAAGGTGTATGAACCGTTCATATACATACCCCTGAAATCCGGTATGATACATAAATATCTAAGGTGTGTAAACATTTGCACATGTGAAAATTTACAAGTGTTTCCCCACCTAAGTTAATTTACATGTTTCCAACCTGGGTAAACTTAGAACGAAATCGTAAATTTCAGCACCCATTGAAATTCAAAGGAATGCATCGGAAATACTGTATGATCATGTATTTACTGGGTTATCTGTTTTGCAATTCATGTTTGGAAATACTTGACAATCCGGTCATGGCATACGTGAACGAGGTTCTTGTGCATACGAAAATGTACGATGAGCATATGTTTCAAAGGTATAGATTCATATGAAATATGTGCCCGAAGTTAGGAAATATCTGAAAACATACGTAAATCCGGTCAAGGCATGTATTTCCTACTGGCGATACACTTGACGTCACCAGAATTATGTCCCTTTAAATATGCAATGGGCTGAATCTTCATCGCTTTGGATGTGTGTGTGTGAGCGCGCGTGTGTGTGCGTATGCGTGTGCGTGTGTGTGACTCACTTATAGATTTAACAGAACCTAATACATCTAGAAGAGTAGGTTCTGATTATGTGACAGTTTACAAACGTGTGTGGACGCGTTCCTGAACATTCACTAACTTTAATAACACCCCTATATTTCCTAATAGTACTTTGTGATGTACTTCCACTATTTAGAAACAAGCGAAAAAGGCGGGATTTATACAGCGTATTACCAATACAAAATATATGTGATACTCGCTGTTTTAAAATAATAGAATGAATTAACCCAGAACGGATCTTTGGGTGAACAGGTTCTTTCAGCTTTTGAAGTCCCGGACATCCGTTACTCATTCTCCGTTAGAAAATGAAACAGTGTTTAGAACACCTCATGCATGTTGAAATTAACCCGTAATGGAAACGACTTTGTTCTTCTACTTTTGGTTTGAATCAGTCAAACTATTTTCAATCAGATGATTCAGATCTTTGCTTAAAACAATAGTTTTTTTAAATTAAATAAGGAAAACTTTTCTTGTATCCATCCTCAATGAATTATCAGTGTCATTTAAAAAGAATATGATTTTTATTCCTATTTTTGCTCAGAAACAACCAAAAATTAATCCAAAAATTGAAAACCATTGTTAACGTAACATCAGTTTTACAACTAAAGTTATGTACGTGACATAATGTAACAAAAGATGTATATAATTCTATCTCAAATTTTATGAACATGAGTATTATGAAACCATTATTTGCTATTCATGATTCGTTAACTACAACTGGCAAGTTAAACATAGCAATCAAGTACACAATACACCAAGGCCAAACTTCCTCAAGTCCGGGCACCTCTGACGTAATAATCATTTCAAATACATGGAAAGTTTAATGTCTTTCGTTTCTTAATGTTTATTTATAATATTTGTATACCTTTTAAATATTCTTGTTCAATAATCATAATTTACGCGTTAGCGATTTACAACGTAACTTATATTTGATGCAAAGTAACGTTTTGCACAACGTTCTAAAATATAAGTATCAAACGTTTTGCATTTCTACGCAAACAAAAGATAGAATAAATCTATAATATCATAATCAATCAAGTGAGTATTTTAATAGGACTTCGAAGCCCATTTCAATTACATGTGAAAATTACTTTTCTAAATAATGCCTCAGAAAAAATAGGGATATTTCTCAAGAAAGACAACAAACTTGTAAGCACCTAGCACCTTGATCTTTTAAAATAATTGTGAATTTCAATGCCCTAATGACCATGCTTTAGTCACTGAATTTAATTGTTATCAGAAATCTTCGAGTGTGTCTTCATTGTCTAATATTCTATGTGTGATTGACACAAAGAATCATTTCAACGAATATTTTAATTCTAATGATGAATGGACGAACAACGGATCGAACCTGCGAAATGATCCAAAACATGTGCACTCCAAATTTATATTCTTGGTTATCGATGTAAAAATCTGCATGGAGGTCAGAATCGAGAAATTTACGTCATTTTTAATATTTTGGTACAATGTGACATGATCATAGGTTGTTAGTTATAAGAAGTCTGTGAAAATAGTCTCTGTTCAAACGCTGCCTGAACATCGATAACAGTAAAATTCATCTTATATATGCACTGCAGCGACACGAACATAGAGCAGACGACTGTTTACTGAGCTATCAGAGATAAATGATATCTTTATGTATATGTGCAGGTGTTCATTGTTCATTGTGTACGTTGTTCTCATAATAATGTAGCAATGATCGCCATTTAAAGGTTTTATTGCATGTATGGCACCTGTACATTCTACCGTTGTGGTGTTCATACATGGAATCCTTTGCCATGACGCTCTGACAGACATCCTAATCCATGGCATCATCCTTATTCGAACAGATCTTGCGATGACGAGCAGGATCTTTCTCTGACAAGTACGATTTCTTACAACTTGGACACTTCTCTGGTCTTAAACTATGATGTTGATTTACATGAGAGTTGTAACTCCACAGTTGGTTGAATTTCTTATTACATACAACACATTCGGATCTTCATATGTTCTTGTGGATGCTGAAGTGAAGTTACAAGCCATACTTAGTTTTGAAGCTTCGCCCGCATCCATCGCATGGAAAGCTGATGTGTCGTAGTTTAGCAGCTTTAATCGGGGTACTTGTGAAAACATATATGTGACGAATTTATGCAAAGGCAAGACTCATCTAGGGCCTCAACATCGATTTCTGAAAGACTTTAAGCCGTGCAGTACACCATACCATGTAAAGCAAACGGGTATTTATCATTTAGACAAGAGATAATTCCACATCGACCCGTATGTTAAACTTAGTATAGCACGATTTATTTTCCTGAATGAGTGTTCAAAACATATGACGTAGCTGTGATGTAATTAGTAAAACAATTGTGGGATAACTGGTTCTAAACCATGTGCATAATTATGACTTCAAATTTACATGCAAAACCTCGCACATATCCACCTCATAAAATGACCATTATTCATGTTACTCTAATAAGCATGCAAGACATGACCTACTCCGAATACCTATCACAGAACTCAGTCACTCTGCAAAGGCGCAACTACCCGTACCCACAGCCCGAGACAGTAGCAACGACCCTTTAGCGTACAGCTTGGTTTCAGTCAAAACAAAGGCTTGAGACTTTCACAATACATGCATTGGGCATTTATAAAATATATCTGCCTTATGCCTGCATAGAAAATGTCTAATTGTATGAAATAAACCATCTATATTACCTTGATTGACAGATTTAGATTTAGATAATTTTTCGTAAGGCACGATCACGTGATCTGAAATGCGACAGTAAATCATCCGGTTAAAGAGGATGAATGAATGTCACCTCATAAATATAGTAGTTAAGGGTACAAGAAGGCTTCATCTTTCGACACAAAAACGTTAAGCCTGTTCTATTCAAAATATTGTCTGTAATTACCGTGAACGTGAAGCCTGGGTTGTCCCTGAAAAACTGTACAGTGGAAAATGGGTTGTTGCAAAGGTTTTCATGTACAGTCGAATACCCCCTGCGAATATACTCACTGTGTATTGTTAATAAACATATGGATTAAAGCCACAAGAGTTATCCCCCTTTCACATCAGAGGCACTGAAGAATGCAGAATATCTTTCGTGCCAGGAGGTGTCTTCTGTCGTCAGTGATATTCTCACTGCGCATGTCTTATTAAGATATAACGACTTTTGACGTCGGGATGTTGCCTACATTTAAACGTTTCAAGAAGGCAAAACAGTTTTGTTGTTTTAGACCATATTCTCTTTAAAACTGCAAAAGCCGCATTCATATATATTTATACCATGTATTCCTCTTCAGATAATGGCGGCTGCCAAAATATTGACAGACAACCACCTCACCTGTGTCATCTGTACCGAGGTGTTCACAGACCCTGCCACACTTCAGTGTAATCACACATTCTGTAAGTCCTGTCTGTTGAAATACACCAACACACAGCCTGAAGCAATACAAGCCAAGTCCATCCCATGTCCCTCCTGTAGACAACTGACGAAGGGGGCCACCCCTGACAGTCCAGTAGAGGAGTGGGTCAGTCAGCTGAAACCAAGCCATGTCATACAAGGGCTGATGGACGACTTCGGACCAGGGAGCAAAGGTAACGAATTGACACTTGACGTCCAATGATTATTTTTAAATGTTGTGGAAATATGTAAAAAATGTCTTTTGTTGTAATTTTAAGATGGAATGAATATATACAATCAATGAATGATGTATGAAATATTTTCATTTGACTATATTTCAATTTTTCTGGTGTTTGGTATCCTTACATCAGTCGACATTTATTATCGACATTTGCATTGATTCTTCTCACATTCTTATTATTTTGAAATTCAATTTCCAACACTATAATTTGTCTCTAAGTTAATTATTGTACAATGTAACTGATTCTAGGAAATTTCAATACACTTATATATGTGTTCCTTTATCCAGAACAAAAACAGCTTGTTCTTTGCCATTACAGCGGCCCATGTAAATATCTGCAGTGTTTGCAAAGTACAAGGGAAGACAACTCCTGCCATCTCGTGGTGCTCCGTCTGTGACGATGTCTTCTGTGATGGATGTCTGAAGATGCACAACGTGATGACGATGTTACGTGACCATGAAGTTGTGGATGTGTCTGATACCACCAAAAGAAAAGCCAAGCAACGCTTCATGTGTAAAATCCACAAAGACGAACAGATTAAGTTGTTCTGTAAGGATTGTGGGATGGCCATTTGTCACACATGCTGCAGTATAAAACACAGGAAATGTGACGATGTTGATACTTTAGATAACATGACCCCTGTTGTCAGAGAACACCTGTCAAATCAAAAGCACGAACTGAAAATGAAAATGACAACTTCAGAAAACAAAATAATGTTCAGGAAATCTCAAATTGAAGAAATAGAGTCCAATGCGCAAAGTATAAAAGATGAAATCAGACAATTACGTAAGAAAGTGGTAGAAGTGATTTTACGGAAGGAGAAACAACTCCTTGATAAAGTCGACCGATCTTCCGATAAACAATTACAGGAATTAAAAGCAGAAATAAAATCCCAGGAGATTGAGCTGCAGATGTACCAGCAACAGTATGAGTTCACAGCCAATGCTGTCTCGTCCAACAGTGAGATGGACATGTATGCCGTCTATGAGTCAGTGGGTGAGTCAACAGACAACAGAGACAGGGACAACCAACCAGCACCAGGAAGGGTTGTATTTACTCACGACATGGACAAGCTGAGTAAAGCAGTGGATGAGCTACAGCTAGGGGAGGTTGATGTTGTCGGTGGTGTGAGTGACCACCAGTCTACCCCTGTTCTACATCACACTATTGACTGTCAGGCAGATGATAATGACATTGGGGAGCCTGAATTGTTTGACGTCACAGTGTTGACTGTTGATGGTATAAAAGTAACAGTAGTTGCAGATAACAATAACAACAGCATCAAAACATATCAAACATCAAAATCAAACACCCTAAGTAATCGCCTACTACTTTCCTATAGTCCTTATCAAATAGCAAAGCTAAGTGAACGTCGGATAGCTGTCAGTGTTCCGGGCAGTCAGGAAATAGTTACAGTGGATGTTACTCCAGATCCTGTATTGCTGTCAACTATCAAAACAACTAAAAGCTACTTTGCTCTAGCCTGTCTGAGTCCTTCACAGCTGGTGGCAGGTACAAATAGACAGTCTCACTCTGTGGACATACTGGACATGACAGGGAAGATACTGAAGTCTATCAACACGGGTGTCATAAAGAATCCAAACTATATCCATGTCACCAGTAATAACAACTTGATAGTCAGTGAAGCATCAGTAAAATCCCTCGTATCTGTGACCAGTGAAGGAGAAGCTGTTTTCACCTACACACCCACAAGGGACAGAGCTCTGATGTATCAACGGGGTATCACAACAACCAGCACAGGAGATATCCTGCTTGTAGACCGCGACTCCCACAAAGGTGATTCAGCTGACAGCGTCAGGGCAGTTTGTCAGAGATGTCCTCACACAGCAGGATGGTCTGGAAGATCCTCGTGGTATCTGTCTTGATGGGGACGGGTTTGTGTATGTTACATGTAGGCGATATGTAAAGGTATTCAAATTGAAAAAGTGAGACGTGTTTCAAATATACTCTTCAAAAAAGTAGGGTGATTTGTTTTCATTTACGATTGATAAAGCTGGGAGATATATCGGAGTAAATCAATGTTGATATGATGATAATGAACATTTTAGAGTGCATCGCCACTTGCGCTTCCTGATGACCATAGTTTGTACAGTAATCGCTGTAAAAGGATGATTGGTATATGATGTGAAATTTGCATGTGTACGATGTTCATTCAGTTGTATGTGATTCCAGCAAACAATTGTATACCAGATGCAAGATGATTGTAAACAATGATGGTCTACAGTGATTTATCGACTAGCTTTGAAAACCGTCAAAATCCAGAATGACACCCAATGCACGTGTATGGGGCTAATGCGTTGTGCACGTGCATCCCATGCGTTTTGTTTAGGGTTGGTGATCAAGAGAAATGCCTGTGCGTTCGTAAGATGTCTGTCTTTGAAGCTTTTGTTGACATGACAGGGAGGATACTGAAGTCTATCAACACGGGTGCCATAGAGAATCCAGACTGTATCCATGTCACCAGAAATAACAACTTGATAGTCAGTGAAGGAAAAGTAAAATCCCTTGTATCTGTGACCAGTGAAGGAGAAGCTGTTTTCACCTACACACCACCCGGGGACAGAGCTCTGAAAAGGCCATGGGGTATCACAACAACCAGCACAGGAGATATCCTGCTTGTAGACCGCGACTCCCACAAGGTGATTCAGCTGACAGAGTCAGGGCAGTTTGTCAGAGATGTCCTCACACAACAGGATGGTCTGGAATATCCTTGTGGTATCTGTCTTGATGGGGACGGGTTTGTGTATGTTACATGTGGGCGATATGTAAAGGTGTTCAAATTGAAAAAGTAAGACGTGTTTCAAATATACTCTTATAAAAAGTAGGTGGATTTTATTTTTCATTTACGATTGATAAAGCTGGGTGATATATCGGAGTAAATCAATGTTGATATGATGATAATGAACATTTTAGTGTGCATCGCCACTTGCGCTTCCTGATGACCATAGTTTGTACAGTAATCGCTCTAAAAGGATGATTGGTGTATGATGTGAAATTTGCATGTGTACGATTTGCATTCAGTTGTATGTGATTCCAGCAAACAACTGTATAACAGATGCAAGATGATTGTCAAAAACGATGGTCTACAGTGATTTATCGACTAGCTTTGAAAACCGTCAAAATCCAGAATGACAACCTATGCACGTGTATGGGGCTACTGCGTTGTGCACGTGCATCCCATACGTTGTGTTTAGGGTTGGTGATCAAGAGAAATGGCTGTGCGTTCATAAGATGTCTGTCTTTGAAGATTTTGTTGACTCTTGTACTTCCTATCTAAATTTAAAGTTCAGGTTCCCCTGCTTTGTTTTAAGAGTATGTGAACATAATTCGATCACACAACACAATATCTGTTACAGGCCAACTTCAGGTACTGTTTATGGCTTTTCATGTCATTCATAAAGTTAGCACATTGACCAAACACTGGATCTCATGTCTTATAGCAAATAGTTTTAATCACAGATGGGTGAGACAAACGTTGATGAAGAAAACAGTAACAAATATCCATTATTATCATTTTATTCTTCATTTTTTCAAGGTCCAATGTGGTTAAGTGACTCACGAACTGTCTATCCGTAAAATCGAATTTATATGTTTTTCTGCATTTCTATAGGAATGTTTATGTATTATGAATATTCAATAAATATACTGCTAAAACTCACTCAGTAACTCACTCACTCACTCCACAGAAGTACCTCTGTGGCCACCATTTTTCTGAATAACTACAATCCATCTCCTGTATATTAGTTGTACAAGTACTCCCTACCACAGAGCCTAGATCTTGTATGGAAGTCACGAAGACATAAGGGCGAAGATCGCTGTGTCGGACAAGGTGGTGGGGTAGCCTAGCAATTTAAGCGTTCGTTCGCCATGCCGAAGATACGGGTTCGATTCTCCACGAGTTTACAATATGTTAACCCCATTTCTGGTGTCCCTCACCGTGATATTGCTGGAATATTGGTAAAAGCGGCGTAAAACTAAACTCACTCACCTCCGAGGAACAATTTGACATTTTACAATACAAATATAGCGATAATTTTGATAAAAATTAGAGCTTAGATCGCTCTGTGGAACAGCATCAGGTTCCTGGCCAAGGGACCTTGAAAGAAATATTTTGCTGAGCACGAATATTTTCTTATTTAAGTCTTAAGAGTTAAAACAAAACATAGAGTTATTTTCATGATCCCAGAGCCTGGTTGTGATGTAGACAAGAATTAGGACCAATTCTAACCAGGAACTCTGTGTGTGTGAAAAGTTGAGAGAAAACAAAGACTGACTGACTGAATGAGTTTGGTTTTCGCCGCTTTTAGCAATATTCCAGCAACATCACGGCCGTGGACACCAGAAATGGGCTTCACACATTGTACCCATGGAGAAACCAAAGAAGTATTTCTCAGGCACTTGTCACTTCGACCAGACAATCCACTGATGAACATTACATCACTGACGTATTTGAATAGGATGACATTGATCAGACAAGTCTGACCACACAAAGTCTGGCCCATATCATCAGTGAGCAATTTGTATAGGATGTCATATATGCATCAAACAAAGCTGAAAGTCTGACAAAACGGAAATTTCCGAGTCTCGACCAGACAATCAAGTGATTAACATGACATCAGTACCTTGTATCGGACGACATTCATCTAATTATAACTAGTCTGTGACTCTGGCCACACCATCCTACCATATGCTTTATACAACAAGCATGGGAAGCTGCGGATGAACCACACGTTGAAATCATGATACAGGATGGTAGGGTAGTCTAGTGATTAAAGCATTCGCTTGTCACGCCAAGGACCCAGGTTCAATTCATGGATACAATGTGTGAAGCCTATATCTGGTGTCCTCTGCCATGATATCATTGGAATATAGCTAAAAGCGACGTAAAACCAAACTCACTCACTCACTCAAATCATGATATCAGTAATTGATACAGGACAATCTGTTAAGTTCAAATTGTTTATTGTGTGATATTTTTCTACAGCTTTGTACATATTATGTTTAAGGTATTATTTTCAATTGTGACACAATCAAACACAATAGCACTGGACAGAAGGAAGAAAATCACAAGGGTTAAAGCATCTAGACAGGACAGTTAAAGTGAAAGGGGTTAACACTAGCAGTCACTGTCCATCACTTGCAGCCTTAACCCTTTAACACTTGCTACAAGTGCAATGGTTTTAATGTCAAACATGTAATACCAGTCAGCAGCAGAAGGGTTAAGGTGGTGACGACACAAGTTCAGCATCAAAGAGCTTCAACATTTTCAGGATTTCAATAAAATACCTATTGTCATCTCAGCAGAAACATTAGAAAGACAATCCAGGATTTTCAAGGAGGAACAGAACTTGTAAATTATACTTTTAGTTTAGTCGTAAGAACTTCATATTTTCCCTTTTTACATTCGCTGGAATGAGTGTAGGGACACTTCACATGATTAAAAAAACTAAAATATTTTGTTTGGTCATAAGCGTCCGTTATAGAATAAGGTATTTTCAAAAGAAGGGTTTAAACCTCTAGACCCCGACAATTGAATAAAGTATTCCTACCAGGTGGAGTCTGGTTATTTGGCTCTGTTGAGGATCGATATCAGGAACAGGAATGAATACACAACTAGTTCCCCATCGAAAGAAATTTTAAGTTGGAACTTAGTTCTGTATAGCCTTAATATGGTTTAGCTCCCTCTTGCAATTTCTGTCAGGTCCAGGGTGCTGGTGATGACAATCCTACCAAATAGTAGTCATCTATTCCTTCATCCATCATTCCAATTAGAAATGTATGGATCCGTATGTCTGTTATTTTCTATGACACCTGCTTAATGTTGAGGGAAAATATTGCTGCAACATCATCACTATTATCTCCATATAAATTTTGAAACCATCAGCTGCTGTTCTGCGTCCTTAAAATCAGTACATTATATGCAAAGGTGCAATACTGACTTCAACACGTGTCTACAGTAAACCCCTAGAATTTGGTTCAGACTCTCCCACGAAAACATCTCGAAGAATCCATTTTGAAAATATAGGGTTGAAAGAATTCATGAATATGACAAAGCCAGTGCAAAGTTCAAAAGTCCATCACAATTTGGAATTCATTGGAAATATATTACAGCTTCCCTTGCTAAGTGATACAGACAAACACAAAACCAATTGCCTTGTCTTGGGCCTGGTGATCTATGTACAGTTAACCATTCAAATGTAACAAGCCATTGTCTCTCAGTAATGTCTACAGTCTCAATCTTGTCTTTGGGACTTGAATACATACATTTTTCACATACGCCTACAGATATCCCATCAAAATTTCAGGGTACAATTTCTTTCTGGACCAACACTTAAGGGCCTTCCTAAATTTTGATGGCTTGCTGTAACAGTAATGATTTTCATTCTGCTGCAAACTGGACTGTAGATTATTTTTAAGACGAGTGAATATTCCATATATTATTTTCATAATACTGTGGGTTCCCCTGCATTTTAGTTTTTTCATGAAAAATGGCAGAAAATCTTTCAACAACACTAATGCCATATTATCTTCAGTTAAATCAGTTCAAACATTTAACATTCAACAAATGTTAAGAATTTGAATGATTTTATCAACATGCAAAAAGGAAATAAGTCACTTCATATACAATTACATGCTAATTTTCATTTCATTATATGGAACTAATAATTAAACTTCATTCACGCCAGAATTTCAAGACTGCATTACCCTACCCAGAACATCACTACAATGATCCATGTCAAAGTTCACTTGCTAGTCTACAGAAATGCTATAAAAACATACAAAAGGGTATCACATTCCATCACGGTGTCCAAGGTAGTTAGAAGAAGAATTATGCAATAAAATGGACCATAGTATGTTGGTAACAATTCATTAACATCGGAATAATCAGTAACAATGAGGAAACAATATAGAAACAAGGAAACAAAACCATTTCACACATGGGACATCTTGGTGTCAACATTTGCATTCAAGTTGCTGAGATGAATCGAAGACTTGCGACTGATGGACGTGAAACTGACGTGACGTGACGTTGTCAGTGTCAGTGCCGATTTCATCAAGTGCTTGTCACTCTTCTACAGGTGACTCAGCCTGACTAGTTCACGACTCAAACAGGTAATAAAATAACTAATTCTATTACTAACCCAGCCAGAAATTGATGATTATGCAAATCTAACATCAAAACTTGAGAAAGTTTCTTATAAACATAACATGAATTTTCAACATTTCAATATATTATCTGCACAATAAAATAAATAAATCTTGCTGCATGGTTTAATGCACTAAACAACAAACAACAACATATTCACAGTTTAACAGTTTTACTCGTAAGTACCCCTTAGGTCATTCCTTTTTTAAAAAGTTGGTTTTTCCAAAACTGTATCGGAATAATCAGTAACAATGAGGAAACAATATAGAAACAAGGAAACAAAACCATTTCACACATGGGACATCTTGGTGTCAACATTTGCATTCAAGTTGCTGAGATGAATCGAAGACTTGCGACTGATGGACGTGAAACTGGCGTGGCATGTCGATATTGACGTCGTCAGTGTCAGTGCCGATTTCATCAGGTGCTTGTCACTCTTCTACAGGTGATTCAGTCTGACTAGTTCCCTAATCAAACGGGTAATAAAATAACTAATTATATTACTAACCCAGCCAGAAATTGATGATTATGCAAATCTAACATTAAAACTTGAGAAAGTTTCTTATAAACATAACATGAATTTTCAACATTTTAATATATTAACTGCTCAATAAAATAAATAAATCTTGCTGCATGGTTTAATGCACTGAACAACAGACAACAACATATTCACAGTTTAACAGTCTTACTCGTAAGTACCCCTTAGGTCATTCCTTTTTTAAACAGTTGGTTTTTCCAAAACTGTATGGTTAATCTTGGAAACTTACCTAAAATGAATATAATTATTATTTGTGAAATTAATTTTGGGTGAATCAAAATATTAAATATATCAATAAGATCAGGTAACTGAAATTTCTTACAAGCACATAAATAATGACAACATCAATTTTATTCTACACTGTTTCACGGATTGTCAAAATACCCAACAATAAATCGTTTTTATGTCATATAATAAATACAAATACTTTTTAATCTGGACTGCCAAAGTATCACCTTTATCTTGGAATGTTTGAATTCCACAGAGAATGCTCAAGAAATTACACCTAATAATGACTCAATATTCTTTTTGCGATATAATGGCCAACATGTTTTCAAGGGCACTTTCCCTGTCTCACATGGAACTAACGTAGTTGAGATTACAATGGGAAAGAAAGCAGTATATGAAATAAAACTTTGACCAAAACCAACAAAATAATTTAATAAAGTATATTTTGATGTGAAAATTAACTGTGTTCTTATATCAACATTGCATATATATATAACATTATGTCCCATCACGAGCAATATTTGATACTACCATGAGGATTCAAACCTAGAACCTGAGTGATCAAACTAACAATGGGTCAAATATAAGCCAATATTTGATACCACTTTTTTCATTTGAAACCTCGTTCCAAAATTTCAGACATTACGGAAATTTCAAAACGATGTCATTGTTCTCAATGGCAATATTCATAAAGCAAAGATCAACAAAAATTAAATATCAAACGAAATCCTCTAATTTCAATTTGATTAGGATACGAGTATATTAAAAACCTATACCCTGGATTCCCACTGAGATGCTGACATTTCAATTAGTCCATGTGGCCTTTATTAATCCAGTCAAACATATTAAACCACCCAACATATTTGAAGAATTCTCAGCAACGACCAACATGAAAAACAACAATATTTATTATTCACTGATTTGTCTGCAGGCAAATCAAATAAATAAAGACAGCATTAATAATTAGCGTTTTAATCCACAAATGTCCACATGTTATTTTGCTGCTACACTGTACATCCTGTTAGCCCTGTACTATAGCAAAGCTTACGATCTAATACTACCTAGTGAGTCCTGAGATGGTGGGTATGGTGTCAGGGTGGGTTTGGGGGGACGTCAGAGTGGATGAGATGAGCGTGTGTTCAAGTACTAATCGTAAAAGGTTAGTGATCTCCGTTTCACCAAAACATTGTGTCGTGAAAAGCATCAATTTGTTGAAGTTTCCTTTCCATGAACAACACTATAAACAGCAGGCAAAAGAAACATGAAAATGGAATTGGATATAGAAATTATGAACCTTATTGAAAAGCTCTTCGGCTGATAACAGTCGCAAACATGACAAAAATCTCTGTGTTTATTATTTCACAGGTAGATGCAGCATGATATTAAACCAAAATATAAACGACGTACATACTTTGAATATGTCATATATTCAAGCTGAAGTAACAAGTATACAAGATTTGTAACGCAAGTAGGACCAGGTTATCTCTAGAAAGAAGCGCGCACACTGACTTAGCAGCTTAACATGCAGCGTATCTTCCGACCAGCTAAAATCATAACGTTTTACATTTCCTTATACGTGATATCTACACAAGTGTGCTGAAAATTTAAGCACAGGAAAGATCAGTAATAACACAACTATGTCTTATCATTTTAACTCAGTACAGATGCAATTCATATCTAAGCAACTTATTTAAATGTCAAACCTAATCAACATACTCAGTGGGTGTGTTATCTTGACTTTTGTACTTTGTAATCATGTGAACGAAGCCATGTCACCTGACACCACGCACAACAATAACAACCAGGAAGTACAAGGTGGCCAGTCTTACGATTCACTGTGTAGTTCTTGTGGGAAGTCACACGTTAATATTTCACAATACAAACAAAGTTATAACCATACCTTGCATTTTAGCAAAGATTTCGTTTAATTGTTGGATGTTTTTTAGTGGTGAGTACGAGTGGTATTTCAATTTTGTTTGAGCACAAGATCCGGGTTAGAACTGGTCGTAAGAGGCGAGATCGGGGGATCAGGCTCACTGATCAGGTTGGCACATGTCACCGTCTCCCAACTGCTCATGATGTTGATATTACTATAAAATATAGGTAGCTTGAGTTTTTAGCACATACTTTTAATTGTGGGATGTTGTTGGGGGAGATGCGGAAGGTATGTTCTGGTATAGTGTCACCTGCTGAAATTTCAATTCTGAAAATGGCTCTTATATCGGTGCCCTTTTACAAACTATTGTTGTAATCAGCATAAGGTAACATGGAGTTTTAAAGACAAGTCGATCATGGGCTTCATGACGATACACAAGGGTTCACCAGAGTTACGTCCCTTTCAACTTTCCTTATGCAATACCATCTACTGCAGCTTCATGGCTTTTGATATGTCTGTGCGTAGGTGAGCGCTTGCGTGTGCGCGTATGTATGTGTGTTACTTACTTTATTCAGTTAAAAGAACCTCATGCATCCAGAATTGTAGGTTCAGATTAAGTGACAGTATACGAACGTGTCGCCTTTTTGACACTTCAACATTCACTGCAGGTACCACTCCTATAGTTTCGAGTGGTACTTTATGAGCAACTGCCACTATTTAGGAGCAAGCAATAAAGGTGGAATTATACTCCTAATTACCAATACAAAATGTATGTGATACTGACTGTTTTGAAATAAAACAATAATTAACAAGGAGCTAGTCTCCAGTTGACACATCTGTTGACACATATTACCTACTAGTATTAACCGTTCGAAAATGAAACCGGGTATTAAAGTCTTTAAACCCACACATCATACATATTGAAATTAACCCGTACTGGAAACGACGTTGTTCTTCTACTTTCGCTTAATATGATTTTTATTGATATTTTTTCAAGATATTTGACTCGATGTTGTGTACGTGTATTGCTCATAAATGGATGAAGCTAAAGTCAAAAGATATTTTCGCCTTTCCTTCGTGCAACGAGGTTCTTCCGTATACAGTTACATGCACACTAACTGCACGTCAATAAGATGTTACGCCTTTGACGTTCGGGTAGAATCTATCGAATAGCCGTCTGAAGAAGGCAAAACACATTTCTTGTATCAGACCACATTCTTTTTAAAGCGACAAAACGACATATTTAAACCATGTATTGCTCTTCAGATGGCGACTGCCAAGATACTGACAGACCACCACCTCACCTGTGTCATCTGTACTGAGGTGTTCACAGACCCTACCACACTTCAGTGTAATCACACATTCTGTAAGTCCTGTCTGCTGAAATACACCAACACACAGCCTGAAGCAATACAAGCCAAGTCCATCCCATGTCCCTCCTGTAGACAACTGACGAAGGTGACCACCCCTGACAGTCCAGTAGAGGAGTGGGTCAGTCAGCTGAAACCAAGCCACGTCATACAGGGACTGATAGATGACTTTGGACCAGGGGGCAAAGGTAACGAATTGGCACTTGACGTTCAATGATTATTTTTAAATGTTGTGGAAATATGTATAATACGTTTGAGTCAGTTGTGGAACAAAATTTGTGTTTTGTTGTAATTTTTAAATTGAATGAGTTTATACACTCCATGAATAATTTATGGATATTTTGATTTGAGAACACTATTTCAATTTTTCAAGTGTTTGCTTTTCTGTAAACCCGATACATTAACGACATTTATTTTCGACATTGATTACTTCTCAAATACTTCTTGTCTTGAAAATCAACTTTCCAACACCGTCATTTGTATCTAAGTTAATCTACTTGGAGTGCGTCTGATTCTAGGAAATTTCCATGCCCTAATGAATATGTTCCTTTACCCAGAAGAAAATCCAGATTGCTCTTTGTCATTACAGCGGCCCTTGTAAATATCTGCAGTGTTTGCAAAACACAAGGGAAGGCAAGTCCTGCCATCGGTGCCCGTGGTGCTCCGTCTGTGACGAGGTCTTCTGTTATGGATGTCTGAAGATGCACAACATAATGACAATGTTACGTGACCATGAAGTTTTCGGCGTGTCTGATACTACCAAAAGAAAAGCCAAGCAACGCTCCATGTGTAAAATCCACAAAGACAAACAGATCGAGTTGTTCTGTAAGGATTGTAGGATGGCCATTTGTCATACATGCTGCAGTATAAAACACAGGAAATGTGACGATGTTGATACTTTAGATAACATGATCCCTGTTATCAGAGAACACCTGTCAAACCTGAAACTCAAAATGACAACTTCAGAAAAGAGAATTATCTTCAAGAAATCTCAACTTGAAAAAACAGTGTCTAATGCGCAAAGTATAAAAGATGAAATCAGACAATTACGTCAGAAAGTGGTAGAAGTGATTTTAAGGAAGGAGAAACAACTCCTTGTTAAAGTTGATCGGTTTTCCAATAAACAATTACAGGAATTACAAGCAGAAATAAAATCCCAGGAGATTGAGCTGCAGATGTACCAGCAACAGTATCAGTTCACAGTAAATGCTGTCACGTCCAACTGTGAGATGGACATGTATGCCGTCTATGAGTCTGTTGGTGAGGAGTCGACAGACAACAGAGACACGGACAACCGACCCGCACCAGGAAGGGTTGTATTCACTCACGACATGGACAAGCTGAGTAAAGCAGTGGATGAGCTACAGCTAGGGGAGGTTGAAGTTGTCAGTGGTGTGAGTGACCACCAGTCTACCCCTGTTCTACATCACACTATTGACTGTAAGGCAGATGATGACAGTGGGGGTCCTGATTTGTTTGACGTCACAGTATTGACTGTTGATGGTATAAAAATAACAGTAGTTGCAGACTACACTAACAACAGCATCAAAACATATCTAACATCAAAACAAAACACACTAAGTAATCGTCTATACGTTTCCAATTGTCCTCGTCAAATAGCAAAGCTAAATGAGCGTCGGATAGCTGTCAGTGTTCCGGTGAGTCAGGAAATAGTTACAGTGGATGTTACTCCAGATCCTGTATTGCTGTCAACTATCAAAACAACTAAAAGCTACTTCGCTCTAGCCTGTCTGAGTCCTTCACTGCTGGTGGCAGGTACATAAGAACAGTCTCACTCTGTGGACATACTGAACATGACAGGGAGGACACTGAAGTCTATCAACACGGGTGTCATAAAGAATCCAAACTATATCCATGTCACCAGTAATAACAACTTGATAGTCAGTGAAGCATCAGTAAAATCCCTCGTATCTGTGACCAGTGAAGGAGAAGCTGTTTTCACCTACACTCCCACAAGGGACAGAGCTCTGATGTATCAACGGGGTATCACAACAACCAGCACAGGAGATATCCTGCTTGTAGACCGCGACTCCCACAAGGTGATTCAGCTGACAGCGTCAGGGCAGTTTGTCAGAGATGTCCTCACACAACAGGATGGTCTGGAAGATCCTCGTGGTATCTGTCTTGATGGGGACGGGTTTGTGTATGTTACATGTAGGCGATATGTAAAGGTATTCAAATTGAAAAAGTGAGACGTGTTTCAAATATACTCTTCAAAAAAAGTAGGTGATTTGTTTTTCATTTACGATTGATAAAGCTGGGAGATATATCGGAGTAAATCAATGTTGATATGATGATAATGAACATTTTAGAGTGCATCGCCACTTGCGCTTCCTGATGACCATAGTTTGTACAGTAATCGCTGTAAAAGGATGATTGGTATATGATGTGAAATTTGCATGTGTACGATGTTCATTCAGTTGTATGTGATTCCAGCAAACAATTGTATACCAGATGCAAGATGATTGTAAAAAATGATGGTCTACAGTGATTTATCGACTAGCTTTGAAAACCGTCAAAATCCAGAATGACACCCAATGCACGTGTATGGGGCTAATGCGTTGTGCACGTGCATCCCATGCGTTGTGTTTAGGGTTGGTGATCAAGAGAAATGCCTGTGCGTTCGTAAGATGTCTGTCTTTGAAGCTTTTGTTAACTCTTATACTTCCTATCTAAATTTAAAGTTCAGGTTCCCCTGCTTTGTTTTAAGAGTATGTGAACATAATTCGATCACACAACACAATATTTGCTACAGGCCAACGTCGGTACTGTTTATGGCTTTTCATGTCATTCATAAAGTTAGCACATTGACCAAACACTGGATCTCATGTCTTATAGCAAATAGTTTTAATAACAGAGGTGAGACAAACGTTTATGAAGAAAACAGTAACAAATATCCATTATTATCATTTTATTCTTCATTTTTTCAATGTCCAATGTGGCTTAAGTGTGACTCACGAACTGTCTATCCGTAAAATCGAATTTATATGTTTTTCTGCATTTCTATAGGAATGTTTATGTATTATGAATATTCAATAAACATACTGCTAAACCAAACTCACTCAGTAACTCACTCACTCACTCAATTCACAGAAGTACCTCTGTGGCCACCATTTTTCTGAATAACTACAATGCATCTCCCTTATATTGGTTGTACAAGCACTCCCTACCACAGAGCCTAGATCTTGTATGGAAGTCACGAAGACATAAGGGCTAAGATAGCTGTGTGGGACAGGGTGGTGGGGTAACCAAGTGGTTAAAGCATTCACTTGTCACGCCGATTCCCCGCATGGGTACAATGTGCGAAGCCCATTTCTCGAGTTTCCCATGGTGATATTGCTTGAATGCTGCTAAACCCAAAAGTACTCACTCACTCCACAAAAGTACCTCTGTGGCCACCATTCTTCTGAATAACTACAATCCATCTCCTGTATATTCGTTGTTCAAGCACTCCCTACCACAGAGCCTAGAGCTTGTATGGAAGTCACGAAGACATAAGGGCTAAGATCGCAGGGTGGTGGGGTGGGGTTTAAGCGTTCGTTCGCCACGCCGAAGATCAGGGTTCGATTCTCCACGAGTTTACAATATGTTAACCCCATTTCTGGTGTCCCTCACCGTGATATAGCTGGAATATTGCTAAAAGCAGCATAAAACTAAACTCACTCACCTCCGAGGAAAAATGTTACGTTGTACAAAACAAACAGCGCTACGATTTAGTTTTGATAAAAATTAGAGCTTAGATGGCTCTGTGGAACAGCATCAGGTTCCTGGGCAAGGGATCTTGATAGATATTTGAGTTTACCTCTCGCCAAGCAATAGTCCAGTTTTGTAAAAAAAGTCTGAAGATATCCAAACGCGAGTCTGGACCAGACAATCCAGTCATGAACATTACATCTCTGACGTAGTTGAATAGGATGACATTGATCAAACAGGTTAGCAAATCTGACCACACAAAAACTTCCAAGTCTGGCCCATGACATCAGTGAGCAATTTGTATGGGATGACATGCATCAAACAAAGCTGAAAGTCTTACAACACGAAAATATCCTAGTCTGGACCAGACAATCAAGTGATTAACATGACATCAGTACCTTGTATAGGATGACATTCATCAAACTAGTCTGTGAGTTTGACCACACGATCGATCCTACTAGTTGCTTTATACAGTACGCTTGGGAAGCTAGGGACCAACCACGCACTGAAATCATCATAAAAGGTGGTGGGTAGGGTAGACGGGAGGGACGTCAAAGTGGGTAGGACGGGTAGGGTGGACGGGAGGGACGTCAAAGTGGGTAGGACGGGTAGGGTGGACGGGAGGGACGTCAGAGTGGGTAGAACGGGTAGGGTGGACGGGAGGGACGTCAGATTGGGTGGGGCGGGTGGGAGGGGATGGGATGGGAAAGGCTTATCCGAGGGTTCACAAAGACCGTGGTCAAGACTACCAGTTGTTCGACTTCCATTTTGTGGAAAAGCGAAGGCTGAGTGGGTTAGACAGCTGACTTTGTGTGCTGGTGATAAGGTACTGCCTCTGGGGTATTGGGTCCAATCCTGGATAGACCTTAACCCAACAAAACACTAGAATCTGTACTCTACTGAGGAAGTGTAATCCAAAATATAACATGTATGGCAACTCTCTTTCTTACAAAGCACAACATTCGTCTTCATTCAGTTTATTTAGCAAACGGCCTCAGGCGAGCCCTTGAACACAACACACATTTGACGTGAACGTCTCATATAGTGATAACTACAAGTTCGTGCGGGTAGCGACACTTTTATCAGCAGGCAAGAGAAAAGAATCACTTGGAATTCAGAGTGAGTGAGTGATTGACTGCGTTTGGTTTTACGCAGGTTTTAGCAGTATTCTAGCAATATCACGGCGGGGAACACCAGAAATAAGCTTCACATATTCTACCCATTTTGGGAATCGAATCCGGGTATTCGGCGAGACGAGCGAACCATTTCACTACTAGGCAATCCCAACGCCCCATGAAATAACAAACGTTTTGATACAGTCGCAAACAGTTATGGTATCGGTAATTATGGTACCAATCAGAAAGATTATCAGCTGTTAAACAAGGAGGATAAGTTTCTTTGATGTTCAAATGTATTTTGATTTCTAAGAGAAATAGATCCATTCCTTATTTCACAGAGAGATGGATCATGATATCAAACGAAACTATAAACGATAAACATAGTTTGAATATTTTAGATGTACAAACTGGAATAACATACATACAAGTCTTGTTTTCCATGTAGGGCAAGGGTACCTGAAGATAGAAAGGCGCTACACTGACCAGGGATACTCTACAACATAGAGTCTCCCTGCACTGACTAAACAACTCAACGTGCAGTGTTGATAAAATCATAGGGCTTAAAATTTCCTGTTACTTCATACTCACAAAACACACAAGAGTTTTCTCAAGTAAAATTCATTAAAATACCCAGTCAAGTACAGAAAAAAGTATTATAAACCCATATACACTCAAAAACGTAAGCATCGATTCATATTCGAAACAACCAGGTAACACACTCACCAACGATTTGATTTAAAAATAAATTGGAGATATTCAAATTACACATATTTCAGAAAACTGCCTCATCGAAAGACTCATCATATCAGTTATGTTGATTCCAGAGACTTGAAAAGTTATTGTAAACAAGTGTTTGTACTTTGAAACGAGCACATACCCGTCGTCAGTATATCACGTGAACCAAGCGACGTCACGTGACACACACCACAACCAGGAAGTGGAGCGGGGACAGTCTGTCGATTGACGGTGTTGTAATTGTGGTAAGTCTCACGTTAATATGACACGATACAAACATAGATATTACTACCTATAACAGTACCTTGTGTTTTTAGCAAACATTCCTTCTGATTTGGACTGTTATCTGGGGAGTAGGGTAAGGTAACGTTATTTCACTTCAGCACAGGTTAGGACAGAGGTTTCGCTTTAATACAGAAAGTAGACTTGGAATCAACATGGACTAACCTATGTACCAGTGTCGTGTCAGCTGCTGAAATGTCAGTGCTGAAAATGACTACCCATCTCGGTGCCCTTCTATAAAGTGTTTGTGTTATCAACATTCATTAACACGGAGTTTTAAGACAAATCAGTACAGAACATCACGGCTTTGTGGCGATACACTTGATATCGCAGAGTTATGTCCCTTTAAATATGCAATCGTGACAGTTTACAAACGTGTGTGGATGCGTTCCTGAACATTCACTACTTTAAGAACACCCCTATATTTCCTAATAGTACTTTGTGATGTACTTCCACTATTTACAAACAAGCGAAAAAGGTGGGATTTATACAGCATTTTACCAATACAAAATATACATGATACTCGCTGTTTTAGAATAATACAATGAATTAACCCAGAACGGATCTTTGGGTGAACAGGTTCTTTCAGCTGCTGAAGTCCCAGACATCCGTTAGTGACACATGTTACTCATTCTCCGTTAGAAAAATGAAACAGTGTTTAGAAAACCTCGTGCATGTTGAAATTAACCCGTAATGGAAAAGACTTTGTTCTTCTACTTTTGGTTTGAATCCAGTCAAACTATTTTCAATCAGATGATTCAGATCTTTGCTTAAAACAATACCCAGGGTTTAGGTTTTTAAAAAATTAAATCAGGAAAACTTTTTTTGTATCCATCCTCAATAAATGGTCAGTGTATTTTAAAAAGAATATGATTTTTATTCCTATTTTCTCCAGTCATTTCCATCAATGTTGTGTACATAGGTCAAACGACTTTTCCCCCTTTCCAATAGCTATTCGACTGTACATGAAAACCAGATGTTGCACCTTTGCAACAACCCATTTTCCACTGTACTGTTTTCCATGGACAACCCAGGCTTCACGTAAACGGGGGGCGGTGGGGTAGCCTAATGGTTAAAGCGTTGGCTCGTCACGCCGAAGACCCGGGTTCGAATCCCCACATGGGTACAATGTGTGAAGCCCATTTCTGGTGTCCCCCGCCGTGATGTTGCTGGAATATTGCTAAAAGCGGCGTAAAACCAAAATCAGTCAGTCAGTCAGTCACGTAAACGGTTAGTTTATGGTATTCCCCACCTTTGATAAATGCAACATTTTGAATATGACAATATAGAGTCTTTCTCCGCATATTTAGAATCAGATAATAATGATAATATTTCTATTCTTGTCATAAATGTCTATTTCAAGCGGCTCCCCGACTGAAGCTAACGTAGCGATCTCGAATAAGCTTGTTTTACTCCTGATATAACGCGAGTGATGACCACACGGTGCTTCTGTTGACTTTTACAACAAAGTACGTCCAGAGTGAAGTTTTAATGCTTATCTCTTTACATTTAGTGAGAAACGTGGCAAAATGTAGACTGTACGATCTGATGTACGCTGCAGGAAATACATATGGCACTGTAGGGAGAGTTACTGATGGCGACTTTCCACTGTTACCACTGTGTTCTTGTTTCAGACTGTTAGACTATTATTTGTCATCTTATTGTCGCTCATCCACAGATGTTTTAAAGGTCCGACAACGAATTGTGGATGGTAGCATTTCTATTATAAGTGTTCATGACTTTCTGAATTCGAAAGGGCTATCGAAATTGTATTTCCTTTTTATGTGGAGTGAAGGGCAGATAATCTTTTGCTGAGAAATAACCAAAAAATAATCCAAACATTGAAAACCATCGTTAACGTATCATCAGTTATACAACTAAAGTTATGTACGTCACTTCATTTAACATAAGATGTATATAATTCTATCGCAAATTTTATGAACATCAATATTATGAAACCATTATTTGCTATTCATGATTCGTTAACTACAACTGGCAAGTTAAACATAGCAATCAAGTACACAATACACCTAGGCCAAACTTCCTCAAGTCCGGGCACCTCTGACGTAATAATCATTTCAAATACATGTATCATATTTCATATCTTTCGTTCTTAGTGTTTATTTATAATATTTCTATACCTTTTGAATATTTTTGTTCAATAATCATAATTTACGCGTTAGCGATTTACAACGAAACTTATATTTGATGTAAAGTAATGTTTTGCGCAACGTTCTATAATATAAGTCTCAAACGTTTTGCATTTCTACGCTAACAAAAGATAGAATAAATCTATAATATCATAATCAATCAAGTGAGTATTTTTAATAGGACTGAGGCCCATTTCAATTACATGTGAAAATTACTTTTCTAAATAATGCCTCAGAAAAATAGGGATATTTTTAAGAAAGACAACAAACTTGTAAGCACCTAGCACCTTGGTCTTTTAAAATAATTGTGACTTTGAATGCCCTAATGACCATGCTTTAGTCACTGAATTTAATTGTTATTAGAAATCTTCGAGTGTGTCTTCATTGTCTAATATTCTATGTGTGATTGACACCAAGAATCATTTCAACGAATATTATAATTCTAATGATGAATGTACGAACAACGGATCGAACCTGCGAAATGATCCAAAACATGTACACTCCAAATAGATATTCTGGGTTATCGGTGTAAAAATCTGCATGGAGGTCAGAATCGAGAAATTTACGTCATTTTTAATATTTTGGTACAATGTGACATGATCATTGGTTGTTAATTATAAGATAGTCTGTAAAATATTCTCTGTTCAAACGCTGCCCGAACGTCGATGACAGTAAAACTCAACTTATATATGCACTGCAGCGACACGAACATAGAGCAGACGACTGTTTACTTGAGCTGTCAGAGATAAATGATATGTATCAATGTATATGTGCAGGTGTTCATTGTTCATTGTGTACGTTGTTCTCATAATAATGTAGCGATGGTCGCGATTTAAAGGTTTTATTACATGTATGGCACCTGTACATTCTACCGTTGTAGAATATGAATTAAAGCCACAAGAGTTATCCCCCTTTCACATCAGCGGCACTGAAGAATGTAGAATATCTTTCGTGCAAGGAGCTGTCGTCTTCTGTCGTCAGTTATATTATCACTGCGCATGTCTTATTCAGATATTACGCCTTTTAATGTCGGGATGTTGCTTACATTTAAACGTTTCAAGAAGGCAAAACAGTTTTGTTGTTTTAGACCATATTCTCTTTAAAACTGCAAAAGCCGCGTTCATATATATTTAAACCGTATATTCCTCTTCAGATAATGGCGGCTGCCAAAATATTGACAGACAACCACCTTACCTGTGTCATCTGTACTGAGGTGTTCACAGACCCTGCCACACTTCAGTGTAATCACACATTCTGTAAGTCCTGTCTGCTGAAATACACCAACACACAGCCTGAAGCAATACAAGCCAAGTCCATCCCATGTCCCTCCTGTAGACAACTGACGAAGGTGACCACCTCTGACAGTCCAGTAGAGGAGTGGTTCAGTCAGCTGAAACCAAGCCACGTCATACAGGGGCTGATGGACGACTTTGGACCAGGGAGCAAAGGTAACGAATTGACACTTGACGTTCAATGATTATTTTTTTAAATGTTGTGGAAATATGTAAAATTGTGTTTTGTTGTAATTTTAAGATTGAATGAATATATACACTCAATGAATGATTTATGAAATATTTCATTTGACACTATTTAAATATTTCTGGTGTTTGGTATCTTGTCAATTCATTACATTAGTCGACTTTTATTATGGACATTTGCATTGATTCTTCTCAAATACTTATTGTCTTGAAATTCAATTAAACACTATCATTTGTCTCTAAGTTAATTATTGTACAATGTAACTGATTCTAGGAAATTTCAATACACTTATATATGTGTTCCATTATCCAGAACAAAAACAGCTTGTTCTTTGCCATTACAGCGGCCCTTGTAAATATCTGCAGTGTTTGCAAAACACAAGGGAAGACAACTCCTGCCACCTCGTGGTGTTCCGTCTGTGACGAGGTCTTCTGTGATGGATGTCTGAAGATGCACAACATGATGACGATGTTACGTGACCATGAAGTTGTGGGCGTGTCTGATACCACAAAAAGAAAAGCCAAGCAACGCTTCATGTGTAAAATCCACAAAGACGAACAGATCGAGTTGTTCTGTAAGGATTGTAGGGTGGCCATTTGTCATATATGCTGCAGTATAAAACACAGGAAATGTGACGATGTTGATACTTTAGATAACATGACCCCTGTAATCAGAGAACACCTGTCAAATCAAAACCAAGAACTGAAAATCAAAATGACAACTTCAGAAAACAGAATAATTTTCAGGAAATCTCAAATTGAAGAAATAGAGTCCAATGCGCAAAGTATAAAAGATGAAATCAGACAATTACGTAAGAAAGTGGTAGAAATTATTTTACGGAAGGAGAAACAACTCCTTGATAAAGTCGACCGATCTTCCGATGAACAATTACAGGAATTACAAGCAGAAATAAAATCCCAGGAGATTGAGCTGCAGATGTACCAGCAACAGTATGAGTTCACAGCCAATGCTGTGACGTCCAACTGTGAGATGGACATGTATGCCGTCTATGAGTCAGTGGGTGAGTTGACAGACAACAGACACACGGACAACCGACCAGCACCAGGAAGGGTTGTATTCACTCACGACATGGACAAGCTGAGTAAAGCAGTGGATGAACTACAGCTAGGGAAGGTTGACGTTGTCGGTGGTGTGAGTGACCACCAGTCTACCCCTGTTCTACATCACACTATTGACTGTAAGGCAGATAATGACAATGACGATCCTTATTTGTATGACGTCACAGTGTTGACTGTTGATGGTATAAAAGTAACAGTAGTTGCAGATATCACTAACAAATGCATCAAAACATATCAAACATCAAAATCAAACACACTAAGTAATCATCTACTACTTTCCTTTTGTCCTCATCAAATAGCAAAGCTAAGTGAGAGTCGGATAGCTGTCTGTGTTCCGGGCAGTCGGGAAATAGTTACAGTGGATGTTACTCCAGATCCTGTATTGTTGTCAACTATCAAAACAGCTAAACAGTACTACGCTCTAGCCTGTCTGAGTCCTTCACAGCTGGTGGCAGGTACAAATAGACAGTCTCACTCTGTGGACATACTGGACATGACAGGGAAGATACTGAAGTCTATCAACACGGGTGTCATAGAGAATCCGGACTATATCCATGTCACCAGTAAAAACAACTTGATAGTCAGTGAAGAATCAGTAAATTCCCTCGTATCTGTGACCAGTGAAGGAGAAGCTGTTTTCACCTACACTCCCACAGGGGGCAGAGCTTTGAAAAGGCCACAGGGTATCACAACAACCAGCACAGGAGATATCCTGCTTGTAGACTGCAACTCCCACAAGGTGATTCAGCTGACAGAGTCAGGGCAGTTTGTCAGAGATGTCCTCACACAACAGGATGGTCTGGAAGATCCTCGTGGTATGTGTCTTGATGGGGACGGGTTTGTGTATGTTACATGTAGGCGATATGTCAAGGTATTCAAATTGAAAAAGTGAGACGTGTTTCAAATATACTCTTATAAAAAGTAGGTGGATTTTATTTTTCATTTACGATTGATAAAGCTGGGAGATATATCGGAGTAAATCAATGTTGATATGATGATAATGAACATTTTAGTGTGCATCGCCACTTGCGCTTCCTGATGACCATAGTTTGTACAGTAATCCCTCTAAAAGGATGATTGGTGTATGATGTGAAATTTGCATGTGTATGCGATTTGCATTCAGTTGTATGTGATTCCAGCAAACAACTGTATAACAGATGCAAGATGATTGTCAAAAACGATGGTCTACAGTGATTTATCGACTAGCTTTGAAAACCGTCAAAATCCAGAATGACACCCGATGCACGTGTATGGGGCTACTGCGTTGTGCACGCATCCCATAATTGTATGTTTAGGGTTGGTGATCAAGAGAAATGGCTGTGCGTTCATAAGATGTCGGTCTTTGAAGCTTTTCTTGACTCTTGTACTTCCTATCTAAATTTAAAGTTCAGGTTCCCCTGCTTTTTTTAAGAGTATGTGAACATAATTCGATCACACAACACAATATCTGTTACAGGCCAACTTCTGGTACTGTTTATGGCTTTTCATGTCATTCATAAAGTTAGCACATTGACCAAACACTGGATCTCATGTCTTATAGCAAATAGTTTTAATCACAGATGGGTGAGACAAACGTTGATGAAGAAAACAGTAACAAATATCCATTATTATCATTTTATTCTTCATTTTTTCAATGTCCAATGTGGTTTAAGTGACTCACGAACTGTCTATCCGTAAAATCGAATTTATATGTTTTTCTGCATTTCTATAGGAATGTTTATGTATTATGAATATTCAATAAATATACTGCTAAAACTCACTCAGTAACTCACTCACTCACTCCACAGAAGTACCTCTGTGGCCGCCATTTTTCTGAATAACTACAATCCATCTCCTGTATATTAGTTGTACAAGTACTCCCTACCACAGAGCCTAGATCTTGTATGGAAGTCACGAAGACATAAGGGCTTAAGATCGCTGTGTCGGACAAGGTGGTGGGGTAGCCTAGCAATTTAAGCTGTTCGTTCGCCATGCCGAAGATAATGGTTCGATTCTCCACGAAGTTTACAATATGTTAACCCCATTTCTGGTGTCCCACACGTGATATTGCTGGAATATTGGTAAAAGCGGCATAAAACTAAACTCACTCACCTCCGAGGAACAATTTGACATTTTACAATACAAATATAGCGCTACAATTTAATTTTGATAAAAATTAGAGCTTAGATGGCTCTGTGGAACAGCATCAGGTTCCTGGCCAAGGGACCTTGAAAGAAATATTTTGCTGAGCACGAATATTTTCTTAATTAAGTCTTAAGAGTTAAAACAAAACATAGAGTTATTTTCATGATCCCAGAGCCTGGTTGTGATGTAGACAAGAATTAGGACCAATTCTAACCAGGAACTCTCTGTGTGTGAAAAGTTGAGAGAAAACAAAGACTGACTGACTGAATGAGTTTGGTTTTACGCCGCTTTTAGCAATATTCCAGCAACATCACGGCCGGGGACACCAGAAATGGGCTTCACACATTGTACCCATGGAGAAACCAAAGAAGTATTTCTCAGGCACTTGTCACTTCGACCAGACAATCCACTGATGAACATTACATCACTGACATATTTGAATAGGATGACATTGATCAGACAAGTCTGACCACACAAAGTCTGGCCCATATCATCAGTGAGCAATTTGTATAGGATGTCATATATGCATCAAACAAAGCTGAAAGTCTGACAAAACGGAAATTTCCGAGTCTCGACCAGACAATCAAGTGATTAACATGACATCAGTACCTTGTATCGGACTGACATTCATCTAATTATAACTAGTCTGTGACTCTGGCCACACCATCCTACCAGTTGCTTTAAACAACAAGCATGGGAAGCTCGCGGATCAACCACACGTTGAAATCATGATACAGGATGGTAGGGTAGTCTAGTGATTAAAGCATTCGCTTGTCACGCCAAGGACCCAGGTTCAATTCATGTATACAATGTCTTGAAGCCTATATCTGGTGTCCTCTGCCATGATATCACTGGAATATTGCTAAAGCGTAAAACCAAACTCACTCACTCACTCAAATCATGATATCAGTAATTGATACAGGACAATCTGTTAAGTTCAAATTGTTTATTGTGTGATATTTTTCTACAGCTTTGTACATATTATGTTTAAGGTATTATTTTCAATTGTGACACAATCAAACACAATAGCACTGGACAGAAGGAAGAAAATCACAAGGGTTAAAGCATCTAGACTGGACAGTTAAAGTGAAAGGGGTTAACACTAGCAGTCACTGTCCATCACTTGCAGCCTTAACCCTTTAACACTTGCTACAAGTGCAATGGTTTTAATGTCAAACATGTAATACCAGTCAGCAGCAGAAGGGTTAAGGTGGTGACGACACAAGTTCAGCATCAAAGAGCTTCAACATTTTCAGGATTTCAATAAAATACCTATTGTCATCTCAGCAGAAACATTAGAAAGACAATCCAGGATTTTCAAGGAGGAACAGAACTTGTAAATTATACTTTTAGTTTAGTCATAAGAACTTCCTATTTTCCAATTTTACATTCGCTGGAATGATTGTAGGTACACTTCACATGATTAAAAAAAAGTAAAATATTTTGTTTGGTCATAAGCGTCCATTACAGAATAAGGTATTTTCAAAAGAAGGGTTTAAACCTCTAGACCCCGACAATTGAATAAAGTATTCCTACCAGGTGGAGTCTGGTCATTTGGCTCTGTTGAGGATCGATATCAGGAACAGGAATGAATACAAAACTAGTTCCCCATCGAAAGAAATTTTAAGTTGGAACTTAGTTCTGTATAGCCTTAATATGGTTTAGCTCCCTCTTGCAATTTCTGTCAGGTCCAGGGTGCTGGTGATGACAATCCTACCAAATAGTAGTCATCTATTCCTTCATCCATCATTCCAATTAGAAATGTATGGATCTGAATGTCTGCTATTTTCTATGACACCTGCTTAATGTGAGGGAAGATATTGCTGAAATATCATCACTATTATCTCCTATATAAATTTTGAAACCATCAGCTGCTGTTCTGGGTCCTTAAAATCAGTACATTATATGCAAAGGTGCAATACTGACTTCAACGTGTCTACAGTAAACCCCTAGAATTTGGTTCAGACTCTCCCACGAAAACATCTCAAGAATCCATTTTGAAAATATAGGGTTGAAAGAATTCATGAATATGACAAAGCCAGTGCAAAGTTCAAAAGTCCATCACAATTTGGAATTCATTGGAAATATATTACAGTTTCCCTTGCTAAGTGATACAGACAAACACAAAACCAATTGCCTTGTCTTGGGCCTGGTGATCTATGTACAGTTAACCATTCAATTGTAACAAGCCATTGTCTCTCAGTAATGTCTACAGTCTCAATCTTGTCTTTGGGACTTTAATACATACATTTTTTCATATTAGCCTACAGATATTCCATCAAAATTTCAGGGTACAATTTCTTTCTGGACCAACACTTAAGGGCCTTCCTAAATTTTGATGGCTTGCAGTAACAGTAATGATTTTCACTCTGCTGCAAACTGGATTGTAGATTAGTTTTAAGACGTGAGAATATTCCATATATTATTTTCATAATACTGTGGGTTCCCCTGCATCTTAGTTTTTTCATGAAAAATGGCAGAAAATCTTTCAACAACACTAATGCCATATTATCTTCAGTTAAATCAGTTCAAAAATTTAACATTCAAGAAATATTAAGAATTTGAATGATTTTATCAACATGCAAAAAGGAAATAAGTCACTTCACATACAATTACATGCTAATTTTCATTTAATCATATAGAACGTTAACAATTAAACTTCATTCACGCCAGATTTTCAAGACTGCATTACCCTAGCCAGAACATCACTACCATGATCCATGTCAAAGTTCACTTGCTAGTCTACAGAAATGCTATAAAACATACAAAGGGTATCACATTCCATCACGGTGTCCAAGGTAATTATAAGAAGAATTATGCAATAAAATGGACCATAGTATGTTGGTAACAATTCATTAACATCGGAATAATCAGTAACAATGAGGAAACAATATAGAAACAAGGAAACAAAACCATTTCACACATGGGACATCTTGGTGTCAACATTTGCATTCAAGTTGCTGAGATGAATCGAAGACTTGCGACTGATGGACGGAAACTGACGTGACGTGACGCTGTCAGTGTCAGTGCCCGATTTCATCAAGTGCTTGTCACTCTTCTACAGGTGACTCAGCCTGACTAGTTCACTTCCACTCAAACAGGTAATAAAATAACTAATTCTATTACTAACCCAGCCAGAAATTGATGATTATGCAAATCTAACATCAAAACTTGAGAAAGTTTCTATATAAACATAACATGAATTTTCAACATTTCAATATATTATCTGCACAATAAAATAAATAAATCTTGCTGCATGGTTTAATGCACTAAACAACAAACAACAACATATTCACAGTTTAACAGTTTTACTCGTAAGTACTCCTTAGGTCATTCCTTTTTAAAAGTTGTATTTTTTCAAAGCTGTATGGTTGATCTTGGACACATATTTAGTAAAAAAACAATTTTAAGAAATACCTGAAATGAATAATTATTATTTGTGGAATTCCTTTGGCTGGACCGAAACACTGAATATATCAATGAAATCACATAAATGAAATTTCTTACAAGCACATAAATAATGACCACATCAACTGTATTCCACACACTTTCAAGGATTGTCAAAATACCCAACAATAAATCGCTTTTATGTCACATAATAAATACAAATACTTTTAAACTGGACTGCCAAAGTATCACCTTTATCTTGGAATGTTTGAATTCCACAGAGGATGCTCAAGATCTTACACATAATAATAATTCAAAATTCTTTTTTATGATATAGTGGCCCACATGTTTTTCAAGGGCACTTTCCCTGTCTCACATGGAACTAACGAAGTTGAGATTACAATCGAAAGCAGTATATGAAATAAAATCTTGACCAAAACCAACAAAATAGTTAAATAAAGGATATTTTGATGTGAAAATTAACTGAGATAACATATCAACATTGCACCCATATAACATTATGTCTCATCACAAGCAATATTTGATAGTACCATGAGGATTCAAACCTAGAACCTGAGTGATCAAACTAACAATGGTTTAAATATAAGCCAATATTTGATACCACTTTTATCATTTGAAACCTCGTTCCAAAACAGTTTCAGACATTACTAATTTCAAAACGATGTCATTGTTCTCAATGGCAATATTTATAAAACAAAGATCAACAAAAATTAAATATGAAACGAAATCCTCTAATTTAATTTGATAGGATACAAATATATTAAAAACCTATACCCTGGTTTCCCACTTGATACTGACATCTCAACTGATCCATGTGGCCTTTACTAATCCAGTTAAACATATTAAACCACCCAAAACAACACAAGAAATCTCAGCATCGATTTCTAAACATGAAAAACCAAAATGATCATTATTCACTGATTTGTTAGCAGGCAAATCAAATAAAGGAAGGAATTATCAATAATTAGCGTATTAATCCACAAATGTCCACATGTTATTTCATCAGCAGTGCTTTATTGTCAATTTGCTATACTGTAGTTTAAGTCTGAAAAGCTGCTACACTGTACATCCTGTTAGCCCTGTACTATAGCAAAGCTACGATCTAATACTGAAGCGAGCCCTGAGTTAACAAGTAACATACACACACATACCCCTGCAGAGGACTCCACACCTGTAAATAATTTCCCAGAAGCCTCCCTCGCTATCAAACTGTAATTCCTTTTACATAATAAACAATATTTCCCTCACTTTCTATGAAGATGGTAAGAATATTTTAATTCAGCACAACAGTAGAGCTGCAACTATTCACCCAGACCTCGATTCGATTCGATTTTTCGATATTGGATCCTCGATTCGATCATTTTTATTCAATTCTTCATACAAGTAAAACATCAGATTTCATTTAACTCTCAGAGTCAGCATTTTTAGCATGAAATGCATCATCAACTAACAATAATTTTCATTGGATAATTAGCCCGGCGTTGGCCAATCACGTTTGCCTTATTTCAGCCGAAACTGCTGGAGTCAAAATTTCGGTCTGGCTGTGTGGAAATAATTTAAATAGGTATTCAAATATCGAATCGAAATAGTGATAATGGTTATTGAAGATCGAAACTAAGGTGCCAGATTCCATTTTGATGAATCGAACTGAATCGTTGCAGCCCTACACAACAGTGTCAACAGGTCAGTGATTTCAGTTGCTTTTTCCATTCAGTACAAATTTACTTTATATGTTTTTGAAACAATTTCTTGACTTGTATTTTTGAAGTATCATAAATGCTTGTGTAAATAAACATCTACATTTTTCTTTTTTCAAAAATTAGCACATTTTCTTCTTGTATTATCTTTTTCTCGGTACTGAAATTTTATGGCCGCTACATAAAATGAATCAACGAAAGTCCAGCTCCTCCTGAATTTCACACAATTTCTATTAAAAGCAGACTTTTACCATGAAAAAATACAAAAATGATTGACTGCCTGATATATATATTCATCTCACATGAGAAATTATAAAACAAATATCATAGCCTAGCAATATTTTATGTTTGAATATAAACTCCGTAAAGCATTAAGTGTAAATCACCTCAGAGGTTCTTAAGAGTCAAATGGCTATATTACATGATATCCAAAGAGACTCCACAACACCCCACCAATGTCAACAGTCACGCACAATCCTAGACAACTGGTATATGCAAACTGAAACTAAATGAAACTGAAAGTAAAAATAACAAATATTTCAAGCCCTAATTTCTACATCCCAAACAAAAACACTTCCTAACTTACCAACTACTATCTACATTAACCCTGAAATACAGTGCAAGTTTGTGAGTGAGTGAGTTTAGTTTTACAGCTTTTAGCAATATTCCACCAATATCACGGCAGGGGACACCAGAAATGGGCTTCACACATTGTACCCATGTTGGGAATCGAACCCGGTCTTCAGGGTGACGAGCCAATGCTTTAACCACTAGGCAACCCCAATCACCAGCTGTGCAAGTTTGTATTACTCCCTAGACAAATATATATTCAAAGGTAAACAATTAAGTAGTTTCAGAGATATAGCCAATTTATTTTTTCACAAAACAAATCAACACTCCTGGATTGCCATGTTTGCCCTACAAGCATATAAACGCTAGAAAATACTCCTAAAGTGACTATGTTAATCCGTGTTGATGGACCATCATCCTCAACGATCAAGGGATAGGTAACTTCACTCTTCCAAACTTACCCTTGGGCCATTAAAGAGATGGTTGATGAATAGTAACAATAGTCTGACATCAGTTGCTTATCAGTGAGTGAAACCATTTCAATTTTTTAAGCTAATTTAACAGTACAAAGGATTATATTTGTACCATCAGTGCTACATGTAAATAAGGCCAGACACATTTTAAACTTGTCTTCTGAATCCATTCCCAAAATTGAATTGGAAAAGTAACCCTAAACAAAGTAGAGTTATTTTATTCCAACCAGAATTGAGTTGGGTTAAAACACCAACATTTACTATCACTATCAAAGTTTAATCATTTCAAGTACAATTAAAACTGAAAACTTTCTCCCCAAAACAGCTTGGATGAAACCCTGTTAGTTTGTGTCTCTCGTCCTCTTTACGATTTGGAGGAAATATTATTATAGTCTGACCTGATCGGTGTACTCCACCTTGAGAGGGCAAATGGCTGCTTGACTCTATTCCTTCAGTACTGCCCTATGGGTCAGATGCTGGAATGTGAGTTCAGTGGTCAACCCAGGAATGAACCATCTTTGGAAATTAAGGTCAGGTTTTGTAAATATTCATACATTCAGATAATGTAAACTTACTTTCTAGGAAGGAAAAATAAGTTGACATCAGCACTCTGATTCCAATACATTGAACTCTGACAAAGTTCATTCTAAAACAACACCATCTTCTGACATACAGACCAGAATCTCACAGACCCCACGCATATAGAATGTCAAAAGTATTGCGAGAAAAACATGACAGAGAAAGATGAAAATTTATGTCATCCAAGGGTGATCCGCTTCCTCAGTGAATGGAATGTCTTCCACAAAAAGAATTTACAAAACTAGAAGCATCTATATACAACATAAATAATTTAAATCAGCTCCTTATGTCACTGCTGTACATGTGGCAAATTATACATATTTAAATAGAGAACAGTGTTCTCCTGCCAAGGTCATGGCCACCTGGGTCACTGTGACCCAGGTCTTGGCAATGTAGGTCATCGCGACCTTCCTCTCCTTACCAATATTGCACTGTTGTGTTCACCCTTCACCTTAGAACAACCAAACACCAGGATTTCTAGGACAATATAGGATGATGGATGCAAATGAGCACACAACCAATTCATGTAATACAACACAGTAGAGTTACTTCCCTTGCAAGGGTGACAGTAATAATACTACGCTTCACACCTACCATTGCACTGAGGATGCAAACCGAGATAGAAATATAGTATTATAAAAGTAAACTTACATATGGTACATAGTTTATATCTGTGTTGATTAGGGAATGGAATAAATAAGTCAAAATAGGTCAGCAAGGTGTAACGATCAATCACAGAGTGCCGATTCGTGGTCTCAACATACTCCAACCAGAACAGGACTGACGAGTGTGAAGTGTTGAGCAGCACTGGTCCCAGATCTGAGAGGTATTTTTTCACAGACAGAAAGCCTGCAAAACATGCCATCATGCTACTCCAAGCTTATCAACACATGCAGCTCTCCCAATCGTATCTCAATCGCTTGCCAATCACTAATCAATGATTGCATGAGGAACGCCCTGTATCTCCCGTGATCTTCCACTGCCACAGCGCACGACTTTGGCAATGTGGCATAAGTGTGCTTGACTGCAGCCTACTTAATTAATGTGCGGGTACCACAGTGCCTGTTTCCATGGTAACATGGTGCAGTATCCACAGTAACAATCTCTAGCCGGGTTGGCGGGTGCGTGTGGGCAAGGTCTGTGTCACGCTGTCTAGAACTGGTACCACTTCTTGTCCTTGTATCTGCTCATGATCTGGTGTGCTGCTTGAGCGAAACTCTCTGCCTGGGACAACATTTGGGCTGACTTGTCGTCCAGTTCGCCAATCTTCTCACCTCTCTCCACCAAAGCCTGTACAGACAAATATTCCAGTGCAATAATAGTCATTGTCATTGGGATCTAGAGGATGTCCTGTTACGATTCATTCACGTATTCAGTAAATAAAACCGTATCTCTTCATGAATATAATTCATTGTATGTGATCACTGGAACTGAACATTGACAAATATGTTTAAGAGAGTGTTTTCACTTCAAACTAGTTTATTGCTGAGTGAGACACGCAAAATGAAATATTTCCAAGCCATGCAGTAGAGTAACTTGTGTGAAACCCTCACGGCATAGTCATTAGGCTTTAAGCAGCAGAGTTCGTGATGTATTGTATTTTGTGTGTGCTTAATAGCAAATATCACTTAAATGTTTCAACCTAAGCAACTGCATGACATGTTTGTTATTGTAATTCCTAGATATTAACCACAAAGTATTCGTTAATAAATATTCGCAGTCGTTACTATACATTAAAGTAGAAACATATCATATCAGCCTCATAGTGTATTCATTGCAGCTCTAGTATCTGAACCCAGGAATCCTGATTTTTCAGAATGGAGAAAAATCTAAACTGAGTGCGATTACTTCTATTCAGAACAAGAAGACATGGTCATCTATATTCCCCCGCCAGAATGTTCTGTTCCTATTTTGACAACTATTCATTCTTCCTAAAAATAGCAATACATAAGATGTTAAATGAGAAATTCTGTTCCCATTGGGAAAATGTGCATTAAGTCAAGAAAGCGTGTGACAAGCTGTAACCACGGTTTCGTTCGAACTCCTAGGTATTCATGTCCTGAAAACACCCACCAAATTTGGTTTCCCTATCTATAACGTTTTTTGAGAAAATCTGTCCCCATCATCTCACACTGACGGATGGATCAATGGATGGACGGAGCTCGAACCTACAAACATTCGGAATCAGTGACAGATGTGGGAAACATATTATTTAGAAATCCCATATCTGACTGGTTAAAGTAACCATGCCTTATGTCCAGCCTTTCCAGGATCTTGACAGAGGTTTTAAATCTGAGTACTAGAACTGATTTTAACGAGATTGCCTAAAGTGTATAGGGGACCAGTCAATTATAATATGGGGTTGGATGAAAGGAAATCGGGGAAGGGTCACTAAAACATATATAGTATAGTACTATAGAAAAGCTGACCTCATAGATAAGCTCGACCCTTAACTTGACCCTTAAAATCAGTGTAAAATAGTATGTTTCGATGCATAAGCCTCACACCCCATGATTGGGTCCTAATCACGGCAAACTCAGACCACAGACAACTGGCTGTTACTGATAACTACAATTTCGGTCTTCATTATTCAAAGAAATCACAATCATATTTAGGGAGAGTAATGAAAAATAGACAAAAAATGCTCATGAATTTTGTCTTTCGAGAGAGGGTAATGAATACAAAGGACTTTCATAACTAAATACATAATGCTCTTTCATTTTGTTTTTTGAAGGAGGGTCATGCCAGCATCATACAAGAACTCAGGAAGGATAATCCCAAAAATGACAAGGGAAGTGTCTTTACTTTCCAGCAGCTCAGAGCTACAAACACCTCTGACCACTTCTAATAAATGACCGGTCCTTGGTTCAGACTCACCATCCTGGCCCGAAAGCAATCTCTCCCGATAGCTTACCGCTCTGTGCCTGCAGGTGCTGTAGCCCACCTCAGGGACATGCTTAGCTAAACCCTTCGATGCCTTCCCACTGTTCTCCCGACTGAAACACAAACAAGGTGCAGGTATTATCTCTCCATGGTTTGACTTACGTTGGCAACAAATGTCATCAGTTTTTAAGCTGCTACAACTACTACTACTACTACTACTACTACTACTACTACTACTACTACTACTACTACTAAAATCCTTGAATCTACAGATCAACAAGCATAAGGTACAGGTGACCTATTCTATCCTGGAATCTGCAAAGAACATAAGTAAGTGAGTGAGTTGGGTTGTACGCTGCTCTTAGCAATATTCCAGCAATATCACAGCAGGGACACCAGAAATGGGTTTCACACACTGTACCCATGTGGGGAATAGAACCCGGGACGAAGGAACGCTTTAACCAGTAGGCTACCCCACCTCCCCCCAAAGAACATGAAGCACTAGGAATCCCTATGTAGGAATCCCTATGTAGGAATCCACAATGTATTGGGGGCCTTCTTTGCCCTGGAATCCCTTCAGCACAACAAGCACGAGGTCCTGAGGTCACATTCTGCCCCTGGACTCCCATCAACAAGCATGTACTGGGGGCCCATTCTGCCCCTGGACTCCATCAACAAGCATGTACTGGGGGCCCATTCTGCCCCTGGACTCCATCAACAAGCATGTACTGGGGGCCCATTCTGCCCTGGACTCCATCAACAAACATGTACTGGGACCCATTCTGCCCTGGACTCCATCAACAAGCATGTACTGGGGGCCCATTCTGCCCCTGGACTCCATCAACAAGCATGTACTGGGGGCCCATTCTGCCCTGGACTCCATCAACAAGCATGTACTGGGGGCCCATTCTGCCCTGGACTCCATCAACAAACATGTACTGGGGACCCATTCTGCCCTGGACTCCATCAACAAGCATGTACTGGGACCCATTCTGCCCTGGACTCCATCAACAAACATGTACTGGGGACCCATTCTGCCCTGGACTCCATCAACAAACATGTACTGGGGACCCATTCTGCCCTGGACTCCATCAACAAACATGTACTGGGGACCCATTCTGCCCTGGACTCCATCAACAAGCATGTACTGGGGACCCATTCTGCCCTGGACTCCATCAACAAGCATGTACCATGGGGGACCCATTCTGCCCTGGACTCCATCAACAAGCATGTACTGGGGCCCATTCTGCCCTGGACTCCATCAACAAGCATGTACCGGGGACCCATTCTGCCCTGGACTCCATCAACAAGCATGTACTGGGGGCCCATTCTGCCCTGGACTCCATCAACAAGCATGTACCGGGGACCCATTCTGTCCTGGACTCCATCAACAAACATGTACAGGGGGCCCATTCCGCAGTGGAATCCCAACAGACATATAAGTTAGTTATAAGTATATAGATAAACCTACATAGCTCCTCCCTGTCCAGTGTTGAGGGCCCTCCACTGAACAGGTTCTTGAAGAAGCCCTGCTTTGGTGCATCAGGAGTGTCACAGGCCAGGAACAAGTCCCCAAGCATGTCATTTAATGTTTCACTGAAAGCAGAATCACACATTCAGGTCAGGGAAGTTCAACAACATTGATATCATCGTAAGGCCAGACCAATTTTATTTCTTGTTTTATGGATCCGCCGGTTGTATTTTTTCAAGAATATGAAAAAAAATATAAATTAATTTTCCCTGCTCAAAAAATACAATCCCAATGTTAATGTGATATAAGTGAAATACTCTTGAAATCAGTGAGAAACCTAAACTCACTCAATTTTCTTTTCGTTGTTATGAACAAACCAAACTCATGTGGGCTTTTGCTTTCACTGGTGATTTTTTATTTATTTATTTTCACTCCTGCCTTTAGGTTTACTGAAGACAAAAATCCATAAAAAAAGAAATAAAATTGGTCTGGCCTAAAAATTGATTCACATTTTTCTTTCTCATGTTACAAATTAAACAAGCATACTGTGCTTTTGATGTACAACCGTGTTTGCAGTTACCTTAGCAGAGATGCCAACCCCAAAGTATTGCACACAGTGCCTTCAAGGATCAAAATTAGTAGTTTGACCATAAAATTCGTAGTCAACTAAATACTTAAAATCATGATGGATTCTGAGAAAGATAATATGACACTAATCAAGAGTGAAGCTTTGATTTCACATACCTCCCAACAGCAGATTTCCAAATTATCAGCATTATGTTTCATCTTGTCGTCTCTTTTTGTCGAAAATGTATATAATCGATTTTAAAATATATGTTTTGTCAATATATCCGAATTTGAATGAATTTTCTTCTAGACAGTCTAGTGCAATCGTATTGGCATAGTTCGAGGCTAAAATTCGTAGTGACTACGATAAAATCGTAGAGGTTGGTATCTCTGCCTTAGTGACCTTGCTCTAAATTGCTATCACAGTATGTTGACTTGACCAATCCTAACAGGAACTCAAGGAATAAGGCTGAGGGGCAAGATGGGAACTCAAAACTGATGTTTTATACGTACATTGTCAAGCTACTCGAAACAGCTATTTTACAGATTTCAAATGAAAGGTCCAAAAACATGTATTGGACTGTCTGGATAGGAAAACTAGCAACTGAAAACATTCACTCCATTCCACACCATCTGCATACAATAACACAGTGTGCAAAGCCTGGCAACCCTGACCAATTTGTTGCCTTCTACGACCACGAATGCCAAGTGTGCTACATCACCTGTACCTAGCAGTGTACTAACTTTTCAGAGCATACAGACATCATCAATAGATTCTTTGTCTGATCAGGAATGGCCATTTCATGTCCTAGGATTTTGTAAAAAAAACAACCCAATAAATTTTGTCCCAGAAAATGCTTTCAAAAACATTAAGATTCAGACAGATGAGAAAAAGCATGTCTGTCATAAAAATTAATTCTTGAAAGCTGCTCATTAAAAGCTAAAAAGTATCTGGTTTTGCAAATGCAGCTGAAAAAGTAACTAGTATCCATGCAACACCCCAGCTGTTAGTCGCCTCTTATGATTATTTGTTGTTTAACGTCACATTCACCAATATTCCAGCTACATGACGGTGGTCTGTAAATAATCGAGTGTGGACCAGACGTCCAACAGCATGAGCATCGATCTACGCAATTGGGATATGATGACATGTATCAACCAAGTCAGCGAGTCTGACCACCTAATCCATTAGTCACCTCTTATGACAAGCATTGGTAGCTGAAGACCAATTCTAACCCAGATCTTCATGGGTGCACCTCTTACAACAAGCATGGGTAGCTGACGACCAATTCTAACCCAGATCTTCATGGGTGCACCTCTTATGACAAGCGTGGGTAGCTGAAGACCAATTCTAACCCAGATCTTCATGGGTGCACCTCTTACGACAAGCATGGGTAGCTGAAGACCAATTCTAACCCAGGGCCTAGATTTTCGAAGCTCTCTTAGCGCTACGATAGTCGTAAGTGCCATACATTAACATTAACTTACGACTTTCTTAGCGCTAAGAGAGCTTTGAAAATCTAGGCCAAGATCTTTATGGGTGCACCTCTTATGACAAACATGGGTTGCTCAATACCAAATCTTCATTTGAACTGGAGTGTTACCTAATATCAGCAGAATAGGTTATTTTCTGAACCTCCGTCGGGGAACACAGATACAAGGCATGACCACTGTTGCTAAAACAGAATGTTCGGGCTACCCTGAAAGCAAACAAATAAACATTAGAACCACATGGTAAGACCGATAGCTTTACAAATGAGGATGTGCATCACATGTCTTTGCAACGCATGTTAAATCAGATTACTGATGTCACAGGTTTGGAGATAAAAGTGTGTTAAAGTATAGACGGAACAATGGAACAATGAAAGGTACACAGTAGTGGATTGTAAACAATGGATCAATGAAAGATGGACAGTAGTGGATTGTAAACAATGGAACAATTAAAGGTGCACAGTAGTGGATTGTAAACAATGGACCAATTAAAGGTGCACAGTAGTGGATTGTAAACAATGGAACAATTAAAGGTGCACAGTAGTGGATTGTAAACAATGGAACAATGAAAGGTGGACAATGAAAGTGGAGTAGTGGTAAACAATGGACCAATTAAAGGTGCACAGTAGTGGATTGTAAACAGTGGAACAATGAAAGGTGGACAGTAGTGGATTGTAAACAATGGACCAATGAAAGGTGCACAGTAGTGGATTGTAAACAGTGGAACAATGAAAGGTGGGCAGTAGTGGATTGTAAACAATGGACCAATGAAAGGTGGACAGTAGTGGATTGTAAACAATGGACCAATTAAAGGTGCACAGTAGTGGATTGTAAACAATGGACCAATTAAAGGTGCACAGTAGTGGATTGTAAACAGTGGAACAATGAAAGGAACAGTGCACAGTAGTGAATTGTAAACAATGGACCAATGAAAGGTGTACAGTAGTGGGTTGTAAACAATGGACCAATGAAAGGTGCACAGTAGTGGATTGTAAACAATGGATTATAAACAATGGACCAATAAAAGATGCACAGTAGTGGATTGTAAACAATGGACCAATGAAAGGTGCACAGTAGTGGATTGTAAACAATGGACCAATGAAAGGTGGACAGTAGTGAATTGTAAACAAGTGGACCAATGAAAGGTGGACAGTAGTGGATGGTAAACAATGGACCAATGAAAGGTGGACAGTAGTGGATTGTAAACAGTGGACCAATGAAAGGTGGATTATAAACAATGGACAGTAGTAGTGATTGTAAACAATGGACCAATGAAAGGTGGACAGTAGTGGATTGTAAACAATGGACCAATGAAAGGTGGACAGTAGTGGATTGTAAACAGTGGACCAATGAAAGGTGCACAGTAGTGGATTGTAAACAATGGATCAATGAAAGGTGCACAGTAGTGGATTGTAAACAATGGACCAATGAAAGGTGCACAGTAGTGGATTGCAAACAATGGACCAATGAAAGGTGGAGTTCATGCCCTGGGTCAGTGAAGGGAACACAGTAGAGGTTATGAGCAAGATGTACCTGTAGTCCGTGAGGGGCAGGAAGTCCACATCTAGGATTGGCTTCAGACTTGGGAGACTGAAGGCCATAATATGACCATTTGCTACATAACACATCAGGCACACGCTATCTGTAACAGCATAAAACACAATGTATACAGTACAATTAACACATTAGTATGTCACCTGTCGTAACTCTATAGTTGATCATAGGCTTACAAATGTTGTAACGTTTTGTGGATTGGGACCCAGAATTTGAAGCAGATATTATCTAGCCACTACAGTTGTAAATGCTACTTTCTAGACAACTGATTTGAGCATAGTGTGAAAATACACAAAGCCTACCTCTAATGGCCACCACTTCAGCTCGCACAACAAAAGAAGTCTCTGTGATTTTCACTTTGTAAGCACATGTTTGTGATGGAAGGGACATAACTCTTCCCTGCTTTTCAGAACAGATGATGACAAACTGGCGATCGCTCATCTCTGTTGATGATGTTGGAGATATTCGTGGTTTATTTGATAATGACATTTGCCCTGCAAACATAAATACATTCGATTAATTTGCCTGAAAATTCCAAAGATTGTTTGATGAATGTCAATCAAAAGCATCAATCAAAACGGCAAAACTTAGACCCAGCAATACTCTAGCAATATCATGGCAGCGGATACCAGGAATGGGCTTTACGCATTTGCCCATTTGGGGAATCAAACCCACGTCTTCAGTGTGAGTCAGTGAGCCCGACCACCTGATCCCCATTACAACAAGCATGGGCTGCTGAAGTCCAATTCTAACCCAGATATTCACGGGTGAGTAGTTGCTCACATGTCATCATTCACCTTGGGTATTGACAGTTTCGTATGGACGCGGGTTTCTCATGAACCCCCAAATATTTTCATTCCTGAGGTCCATTCTGTTGTGTAACGTAAACCAGACAGTAGACGTTTTTAAGCGATCTTAGTGCTAAGGTGACTGTAACTCCCATACCTTAACAGAGACTTAAGGTAGTCTTAGCGCTAAGGTGACTGTAACTCCCATACCTTAACAGAGACTTAAGGTAGTCTTAGCGCTAAGGTGACTGTAACTCCCATACCTTAACAGAGACTTAAGGTAGTCTTAGCACTAAGGTGACTGTAACTCCCATACCTTAACAGAGACTTAAGGTAGTCTTAGCGCTAAGGTTGTTTTGTACTACAGCACCCTGATCTTTACATCATAGTAACAGCTTAACTTTGTGAGTGAGTGAGTGAGTGGTTGAGTGAGTGAGTGAGTGAGTGAGTGTGAAATGGGCTTCACACATTGCATCCATGTGGGGAATCGAACCCGGGTCTTCAGCGTGACAAGCGAACACTTTAACCACTAGGCTACTCCAACACCCCTGCTTATATCTGGGAGGAATTTTGAAAATATCACCAGTCAAAGACAAAATCGCTTTGTTCAAACCAACAAGTCGGCATTAACAGACCATGGCTCATAATCATGGATTCGAACCCACAACCATCGGATCATGAGAAACAAAGCCAACTGCGGTACTTTAGACCATTGTGCCCCTGTTCCTCCCCAACAAAACAGCATGACAGTTTCTATAAACTAAAAGACACAGCAACATCGGTTACTTTGTATGCCAATATTACTATTTTTGAGAGCCTTCTCGTTGCTTTCTCGGTTCTCTCTCTGGGGTGACTCTTTCCAAGTCTCGGACACTGATGGTATCAACACACCATTACAGTCCAGAAACGACATCGCTAATATTGCTCCTTTCAAGCGGAAGATTGTCCCTGAAACGATCAAATGAGATAAATTATTGTGATGCTACAAAACTAAACAAATACAAGAGGAAACAAATAAAAGTGATTGTAAGAGGTAGTATCATCATCAATACTTTCTGGTTTGTTCTTCAATGTCTACCCCACAATATTCCAGCTGCATAGCATTAGTTTGTAAATAATCTCTTCTGGACCAAACACCCCAGTGATTAACATTAAAAGTAGTAATTTACAAAATTGGTATACAATCATTCATCAAGTCAGACCAACCCCTGGACTAGAGAGTCAGTATACACCACCCCAGACTAGAGAGTCAGTATACACCACCCCTAGACTAGAGAGTCAGTATACACCACCCCTAGACTAAGAGAGTCAGTATACACCACCTCAGACTAGAGAGTCAGTAACCACCACCTCAGACTAGAGAGTCAGTATGCCCCACCCTGAGACTTGATAGTCAGTATGTCCCACCCTAAGACTAGAGAGTCAGTATACACCCCCCCTAGACTAGAGAGTCAGTATACACCACCCCTAGACTAGAGAGTCACTATACACCACCCCTAGACTAGAGAGTCAGTATACACCACCCCTAGACTAGAGAGTCAGTATACACCACCCCTAGACTAGAGAGTCAGTATACACCACCCCTAGACTAGAGAGTCACTATACACCACCCCTAGACTAGAGAGTCACTATACACCACCCCAAGACTAGAGAGTCAGTATACACCACCCCAGACTAGAGTCAGTATACACCACACCTACAGACTAGAGAGTCAGTATACACCACCACCACCACCCCCAGACTAGAGAGTCAGTAACCACCACCCCTAGACTAGAGAGTCAGTATACACTATACACCACCTACTACACCACCCTAGACTAGACCATTACTATACATCCACCCCTAGACTAGACCGTCACTATACACCACCCCTAGACTAGACTGTCAGTATACACCACCCCTAGACTAGAGAGTCAGTATACACCACCCCCAGACTAGAGAGTCAGTATACACCACCCCTAGACTAGACTGTCAGTATACACCACCCCTAGACTAGAGACTGTCAGTATCCACCACCCCAGACTGAGAGTCAGTATACACCACCCCCAGACTAGACAGTCAGTATACACCACCCCTAGACTAGACTGTCAGTATACACCACCCCTAGACTAGACTGTCATACACCATACACCAGTCAGTATACACCACCCCTAGACTAGACTGTCAGTATACACAGTAACACCACCCCAGCCCTAGACTAGACTAGAGAGTCAGTATACACCAGCCCTAGACTAGAGAGTCAGTATACACCACCCCTAGACAGACTGTCAGTATACACCACCCTGTCAGTATACACCACCCCCAGACTAGAGAGTCAGTATGGACCTACCACTGGGAGACACAATGACTGGTTGTGTGAGCCTCTGTTCCCCTGTGGGAGGCAGATTCAACACTATCACAATGACTGAGCCCAGGCTTGTTCCCACCCACAGGCATGGGCATGTGAAGTTGTCTGCAAGAAACATATATATGCAAAACAAAACGTGAAACACAACCACTTTATTGCTGTAAAGCAGGACTCAGAGCAAGTCACTTTATGACTCAAAGAGTGAGTGAGTTTAATTTTATGCCACCTTTAGCAATATAATGGCGGGGACACCAGAAATGGGCTTCACATATTGTACCCATATGGGCAATCGAACCCGGGTCTTTGGCGTGATGTGCGAACGCTTTAACTACTAGGCTACCCCAGCGCTCCTATGACTCAAAGGAATCTTGAACATGATTTAATCTTAAATTTTTTAAAGAAGAGGTTTTTAAAAACAAAGACACATTTATTGAATAATGTGTACAAAAACAGAGACTTTTTTAAATGAATGAAGCTTTAGATTAATTTTCTTTCACATAGATAACATCAAAATCACCAGCAATTACAAATATTACTCTTGAATAATCAGGAGCATAAGAGCTGCAGAACCACAAGTAATTGTTGACAATTAAGATTCAAAATGATAATCACTTCCATGCTTTCAAACAATCATAAAATTTGAATTAAACCAACAAAAAACACCAAGCTTTTGACATGTATGTCAAATAAAATATTAGCTTATAATCACTCAAGCACCATGAAACTGGAAATAACAAAATTGTGAATCTTCATCCCTTCACTCTATAGTGGCACCTCAAAGGGTTGTCAGCAATTAAGGTGAGTGAGTGAGTTTGGTTTTACGCCGCTTTTAGCAATATTCCAGCAATATCACGGCAGGGGACAACAAAATGGGCTTCACACATTGTTCCCATGTTGGGAATCGAACCTGGGCCTGCTTTAACAACTAGTTCTACACTGGACACCACACAGGGGTATGGTCTACTGGGCACCTGCTCTTCCCAAGCCTCCATAATAGGCGTCTATACCTGTGAGTACCAGGGACACATTCTCAGCTGGATTCCATATATGTGGCCAAACTTGATGGCCTGGGGGCATGGAGATCTATTTCACACTGGATTCCATATAAGAGGACCAAACTGGGGACCTGGGGGCATGGAAACCTGTTTTACACTGGATTCCATATAAGAGGACCATATTACACTGGATTCCATATAAGAGGACCAAACTGGGGACCTGGGGACATGGAAACCTGTTTTACACTGGATTCCATATAAGAGGACCATATTACACTGGATTCCATATAAGAGGACCAACCTTGGGGACCTGGGGACATGGAAACCTGTTTTACACTGGATTCCATATAAGAGGACCAAGAGGACCATATTACACTGGATTCCATATAAGAGGACCAACCTTGGGGACCTGGGGCATGGAAACCTGTTTTACACTGGATTCCTTATAAGAGGACCATATTACACTGGATTCCATATAAGAGGACCAACCTTGGGGACCTTGGGACCTGGGGACCTGGAAACCTGTTTTACACTGGATTCCATATAAGAGGACCAACCTTGCCAGGGACCTGGGGACCTGGAAACCTGTATTACACACTGGATTCCATATAAGAGGACCAACCTTGGGGACCTGGGGACATGGAAACCTGTTTTACACTGGATTCCATATAAGAGGACCTTGGGGACCTGGGGACCTGGAAACCTATTTTACACTGGATTCCATATAAAATGACAATGCCAGCCATAACATTCAGAGAAATCCAATCTACGAAACCTCTCCCAATTTTTTGGGTCAGTTACAGTTTTCTTAACGTCCAAATGACAAAGGGATTACGCACAAGTGCAAGTCAATCAGTTGGTTTGTTTTTGGTAAGCATATATGAGCTTATATTGTAACAATCTTTGAATTTTAGTGTGAGCGAGTTAAGTTTTACGCTGCTTTTAGCAGTATTCCAGATAAATCATGGTTGAGGACACCAGAAATGGGCTTCGCACATTGTACCCATGTGGGAAATGAAACCCAGGTCTTCACTGGATCCGATTGTACTCATGTGGGGAATTGAACCCGGTCTTCAGCATGACAAGCAAAAACTTTAACACGTTGATTGCCTATCACGAGTATACTCGTAGTATCACTTCTGGCCGAATATGCCACTACGAGTTATCTCATAGTGGCATAATGGCAAAAATAGGCACAAGAAACAAATGTCTCCTAGCGTTCTTTGTTACCACCAGGAGACGATTGCTTCTTGTGCCTGTTTTGCCAACATGTGAAACCTGTTTCAAAACAGGGCTCGATTTAAGAGATGTTAACCAACTTGCACCAGGTGCAACCTAAGATAAAAACCTAGTTGCACCAGTCAAATTCCAGTTACACTGTTTTATTGCAATATGTAATATCAGAAATATGCGATTGAATTATTTAGATGTTTTATTCAGAAGTTTACCCACTCAAAAATTTATTTGCACCTGGTGCAAGTTAGACTAATAACTAGGTTGCACTTTGTAATATTGGGTTGCATCAGTGCAAGTAACAAAGCACTAAATCGAGCCCTGCAAAATATCATTGATGCAGCTACAAGATAACTCGTAGTGGCAAATTCCGCCAGACATTGATACTATGAGTATACTGGGTGGCAGTCAACGTGTTAACCACTAATCTACCTCACCGCCCCTCTTTGTATTTCAAGTAAAGTACAGGCATAAAGGGACAAGGTAAAATGAAGTGATGCTCTTGTGCATAATCCCTTTGTTTTTTTGGACAATAAGAAAACTTAAACTGAATACATACACTGAGAGAAACAAATAAAGAATCACAGGAAAATTCAAGCGTTCCTTTAATATTATGCAGTTTTCATCACCAGCTTTAAACAGCGCTGGGGGAGGAAATCTGAGAATAAATAAAGGACACTGCCATGAAGTTTCCCTCAGTATATATAATTATATACAGCCGGACTGGATTTTAATACCTGTTTTCAATTTTTCTAACTTTACTCTCATTTTGTATGCATAAGAGATAAAACGAGCAAGATTGGTAATGTTGTCAGTTTTGTTTTGTTTAAGGTTATTGCTAAAAGATATCAAATTAACTTGCAAACTGTTAGACAAAAAAATCCCGAAGTTCTTAACAGCCGGACCTTTCAACAAAAACAAAGATTTAAATAATTAAAATAATGAATTCCAAAGTGCAAATCAGCCACAGATGAACAGAGTCACCCAAGTATGATGTACAATACCTGAAGCAGTGCCGCACACGAACAGCCACTCATGCAGTGACACAGAGGTACCAGTCATAGAACACATGGGATTAGTAAAAATGATAGCGACCTTCTCTACCTGTTTTCCGGGTATAAGAGTCAGCAAACATCAAGGACTGGATGGCTTCCTTCGACACATTCTCCAGGCTAGACATGCTGGAACTCCGAGATCGTGAAAACGAAACACCGTCCGATTTATCTGTTGAACATAATTAATATTTTGATGCATAGAGAGAATTTCGTTCTAGGAATGCTTATTACAGCTACAAGGGGTTTCAAAGTTAGCAAATCCATGTTAATATATTTTCATATAATAACTAGCCGTATTTGTGATTTGTTTAAAATGGAACATTACAAGCTTAAAATTTCTGTCAAAAGACAATAGGAACGGATACATTTTTTAGATATGTAAATGAATGAAATGCCAGATTATGAGGCAAGAAAGCATTTAATGCTTATTTCAAGAGACTGATATTGAAGTGCAAAGATAAAACAGAGAATAAAATCAACACATCACAACAAATGTGGACATAAGACAAATATTTTGAAACCCCTTGGTTTTTATGTCACACACCAATCAGCCACATAAAATGTTTCCACCCCCCAGCAGTAAATTTATATTCCCCAAAAGGCCAAATGTTTAAAATATCCTTAAAACAAGTATTCAATCAAATTCGCATTGTAAATGAAATAAGAATATATTTTGATTTAAACTATTTTAAAGTGATGTTTTAGATCAAGCTTTCATAGTAAGATGACTTATGAAAGCTTAAAAGAATTTATAGGCCAAAAATAAATGTTAAAACAAAAATGGAATAAATTTTTGAAATGAATTGCTGTCGATTTCAGTCACATACTAAACAGAAAACAGCATCCAAACCGACACTGTCATTTTGTAAATAATTCTAAAAACTGATAAGCAGGATAGGACCTGTGTTGATCAGAATATGGTGGCTTATCAGTTGTCTTAGAAATATCATCATTTAATTGCTGCAGTTTCATAATTTATATTTTTAGTGACGATTATGCATGGTTTGAACCAGCGATAATGAAAGAATCAGTCAAATGCCATTTATTAGTGGGTTTCCAGTAAATGAGAGTTATCCCCCTTTGACCTGGTTTATGGTTTTGGATTCTTAATCCTGTTTGATTCATACATACTATTGTTTTCAACATCAAAGGTTTCTCATAGTTGCCTGTTTACTCCCCATGTGAAATAGGAAAACTGTTTCCGACACTGAACTAATTTTTTAAAAATGAAACATATTGTAGGGATGATTTTAAATGCTACAATTGCACAAAATCCTAAAAATGTGTAACGTTTCCAGATATAACAAAAATTTGTAAACTTATAGATAGGTTTTAGAAAATAACCAAGAATATTACAATTTGGAAATTGCTGAAATATTCAACAAAAGTTTGAACTAGTGATGAGAGAACTTCTAATGAACTGTATTTTACTTCAAGACGTTCTTCAACTTTAACAATGACATATCAACTGTCGAGTCATCCCACCAACGAATACCTTAATACTCCTTTTGTATGCCAGAAATCATTAATGCTGCTAATTTTATGAATGTTATTATACCCCTGAAAACTCTTTCCTGAAATAGGAAAGTTATTATGAAACTGCAGCCTAACAACCATATATAATGTCACATCACCTCTATGAAACAACAAGTGCCATTGCAGCACACCTGTAATCAACAGATGCATCCAGGTAAACAACAGGTAATGATTGCTATCAACATGCTTGGAGGAGGTGATATAAGTTTTACAACTTCTGGTGGTCCATCAAGTTCATTCCACTTTCTTGTCAACAATATCAAGAGGATCTGTTAGGGTTTTCCCCATAAATGGGCTTGAATGTATTGCTATATTACATGTAAAATTAAACAGCACCCTAACAGGTCCTCGAAACTACCATGGTGCAGAGTTACCAATTTTACTTTGCACAAATGCAGCAGAGAACAGTTTCAGGAGAAGATCAAATTGTACCAGTGCAGGTAGGCAAGTTTTTAGTGTTTTTTTGTTGTTGATATTTCTAATCTGTACCATACCTAGACACACAACATAAAGTGCATGCAATGAAAACAAGAATTCTACCCTGAATAACTCTATAGGCTACATCAATGATCCATGATTGAAGCAATGGGGGGATTAATTTTAATCTTACCAATATGAGATTACATGTACCTTGCTAGGGTGATTCAATTTAAGCATTCATATATTTCACCCCTAATATCGAAAACATGAGTGGTTTTACTTGTCTTTATTTCATTAAAGAAAAACCACACCCAAAAACATTGCATTCAACCAATTACCGTATTGGTGCAACTCTTTTCCCTATTGTTTCTCATCACTATTCCTCATCCTTTCATTTTGTTTGTCGTTCTTGTTTGTCACTGTTCGTTGTCACTGTTCGTTGTCACTGTTCTTTGTCACTGTTCATCATCCTTTACTGTCACTGTCATCTTTTTTCTTAATTTTCATTCCTGGTCTTCAATTTTCTTATTGTTTGCAACCACTGTTTTTAATCCTTTTCTTTTGTCACCATTCTTAACAATGCCACTGCTTCTCATCCTTTCCTATTGTTTGTCACTGTATGTAGTCCTTTCTTTATAACATTGTTTCTCTTACTGTGTCATCCTTTCGTATTGTCATTGTTTCTATTCTTTCTTACTGTGTCATCCTTTCCTATTGTTTTTCATTGTATGTAGTCCTTTCTTTATAACATTGTTTCTCTTACTGTGTCATCCTTTCCTATTGTTTTTCATTGTATGTAGTCCTTTCTTTATAACGTTTCTCTTACTGTGTCATCCTTTCTTATTGTCATTGTTTCTATTCTTTCTTACTGTGTCATCCTTTCCTATTGTTTTTCATTGTATGTAGTCCTTTCTTTATAACATTGTTTCTCTTACTGTGTCATCCTTTCCTATTGTTTTTCATTGTATGTAGTCCTTTCTTTATAACGTTTCTCTTACTTTGTCACTCTTTCTTATTGTCATTGTATGTAGTCCTTTCTTTATAACATTGTTTCTCTTACTGTGTCATCCTTTCTTATTGTTGTCATTGTTTCTGTTCTTTCTTACTGTTTGTTATCCTTTCCTATTGTTTGTCATTGTATGTAGTCCTTTCTTCATAACATTGTTTCTCTTTGTCATCTTTTCCTATTGTTTGTCATTGTATGTAGTCCTTTCTTTATAACATTGTTTCTCTTACTTTGTCACCCTTTCTTATTGTTGTCATTGTTCCTGTTCTTTCTTACTGTTAGTCATCCTTTCCTATTGTTTGTCATTGTATGTAGTCCTTTCTTTATAACATTGTTTCTCTTACTTTGTCATCGTTTCTTATTGTTGTCATTGTTCCTGTTCTTTCTTACTGTTTGTCATCCTTTCCTATTGTTTGTCATTGTATGCAGTCCTTTCTTTATAACATCGTTTCTCTTACTTTGTCACCCTTTCTTATTGTTGTCATTGTTTCTGTTCTTTCTTACTGTTTGTCATCCTTTCCTATTTTTTGTCATTGTATGTAGTCCTTCTTTATAACATTGTTTCTCTTACTTTGTCATCCTTTCTTATTGTTGTCATTGTTTCTGTTCTTTCTTACTGTTTGTCATCCTTTCCTATTGTTTGTCATTGTATGTAGTCCTTTCTTTATATCACTGTTTCTCTTTGTCATCCTTTCCTATTGTTTGTCATTGTATGTAGTCCTTTCCTTATAACATTGTTTCTCTTACTTTGTCACCCTTTCTTATTGTTGTCATTGTTTCTGTTCTTTTTTACTGTTTGTCATCCTTTCCTATTGTTTGTCATTGTATGTAGTCCTTTCTTTACAGCATCATTGTTTCTCACTGTTTGTCATTCTTTCATATTGTTCGTCATTGTTTCTGTTTTTTCTTTTTGTTAATTATTGTTTCTCCTAATTTACAATTGTTTGACATTGCTTCTGTTCTTTCTTATTGTTTGAAATTGATTCCTTTGTTTGTCATCCTTTCTTTTTGTTTATCATTACGGTTTGTCATTGTTCAATGTCACTGCCATCATAATTTCTCAATAATGTCTCCATGTTTTATCATTAATTTTCTGTTTACCAAAAGTGTTCACATTTCATTTATTTTATCAGTGACTGCAAACATAATTTCACACAATGTTGTGTCATTTTCATTAAAGTTTATAACTCTTGTGTTCCCAAACAGCAATCAGTGAATAAGTGCAGCTTGTAGTAATCTTTCAGCAATATCAAATTAGGGAATGCACACACAGGCTTTCAAACTGCATTTTCTTACAGGCCATCATACTGCAGGGTAAAACTTAAGTTGAATATCTCCATTTGTTTTCATTAAAATCAACCTTCCAAATATCTCAACAAATGTCAGACACGTGAGAGGGAGATGAAAGTCGTGCTTGTGAACAGATGGTGGTGATGACGAGGCAATGCCCGGAGATGTGAAGAGAGCAAACACAGACTGAATGTGTTAGTGACAATTTGGGGCTTCGAGCCACACGCAGGTGAGGAGGAGACTACATATTGAAACCAAAACACGAACGAGCATGGAGCGAGTTCACATACTGATCGCCAGTTTATCAATAATCCAAAATACTGAAGTGATCAAATATACCACTTATAGCAAGTCTGTTTCCAAACATGTGAAAAGTTCACTGAGTGGACCAAAAATGCATTCTTTTCCATTTTTTAAAAATTATTCTTTTTATATTTCATGCTCAGTACAGGAATGGCACAACATTTTAAGAAAATGTTACCCGAGAGCTTTGGATTTCATGATTAATGATAAATGTGCAATGAGTATGTAAATATCATTATCCATGTTCAATCAAAGTATGAGGAATGCTAACTTGATAAATCCACTGATAGATATGTCACTGCAAAACCAATGGAGTTATTATCAAACAAAAGTCATGAAAACTGTGTATCTCAGTGAGTAATCTATAAAGCATCTATGAATATAGAAATAAACACTGGAGGTGGATTAATATCTGAAACCAAATCAATGTGATCTGCAGAATATTGACTACTTAGTCTGTGGCAATGTTAATGATAAATTAACATTTAACATTTAAATTCTTCCATTTCTAATTATGATCTACTTGGCATGCTTTAACGATAAACATCACATCTTGATAACGATCACACACATAAATTTGACTGGCAATTAAGAAATGGTAAAATGCTGAAAATATTTGCAATATTTGTTAAAGTTTGTTTCTCACAATTATTCTCAAACAACAGACATGTTACAAACATTCAGGAACAAATTCAAAGAATGTTAACTACCATTTCAAGCAACGAAAAAATCAAAAATACAAATTTCTTGTTTTATTTTCAAACATCTCTTTATACATTACTTGTATATTTATTTTATTTTTTTTAATTTAAAATTTGATTTTATAAATTTCCATTGCTTGAAAAGAGGCAGTCCACACCAAACTAATTCTAGTCTACTCAAGCACCATGTACAATTGTGTCACCTGTATATGAGATATCAAACTATCTGAGACACAGATGAAGTCGTCACCCACTAAATGTTAGCTCGGACACGTCTAGCCCATACCTGACCTGCCTCTAACTTTCTGAGTAAAAACCAATGGTATTGAATATCCTAAATTCTTATAAATTTTCAACAAGGTTCATACAGGTAGGAATACTAATAGTTAAGGTTTTTTCAAGGATTTTGTCAGTACCGGTAACTATTTTTAAACCTGCAAACGACATGTTAGTCCTATCACTGTCAAAAAAACTAAAACATACCATAAGCAGTGTAGGAAAGATGTAGAAAATCTAGCCTGTCCACAGGACTGGCAGGTCAAATTTTTTACCAGTCCTGCCAAAATCTAGCCTGTCCTCCAAATATAAATAAAACACCTTCGGCAGTAAATATTCAAAAAGGTTATAATCATTATATATATGTCATTGGTTTGCTAAAATTGACCCGACATGAGGACGGACTAGATATTTTTTTAACCCGTCCTCCACAAAATTCACCCGTCTCGGACGTTGGGACGGGCTATCTTTCCTACACTGCCATAAGCATCATAAATTTTCTAACAATTATTTTCACAACCAGAACATGAAACAAATTTAGTCTTCAGTGGTCATGTCATTAAATTATTGAATTAAAAAGTATTTGTCTTTTCATCCAGAAAATTCAAGGCCTTTTCATGTCTGTATGAACCTTGTTCAGGGATGACTAAACGAAGTTGATTAATTCGATTTATTATCCTTTCCAAACTTTTCATATGAAAAAAAGACTCATTTTTTCAGTTCTATATTTTAGACAATAACTTGGACCTTTTACTGGTATCATCAAATTTTCAAAATTTGAAAAATCTGTCAAAATATAATATCATGTGTCAAACTTGGCCCATGGCTGTAACAGCAATTTGTTTCATCACATACATGCAAAAAATGGTGTAACACAAAAACATTGAATTTCCCATTAAATTCTTCATTAGGTTAAGTTTAATTTCAACCACTTATATCAAAATGAAAAATGAGCTTTTCTAGGTGTTGAGGTTCGAAAATGGTACATATGTCTTCAAAAACAAATTATTCGTGAGATCAGTCAACAGGTGATCGGTTCTACACAGGTTAAACATTCACCCTTCACAGACATGCATGCAAACTAAACAGTTCTAATCTAAACATATAATCAGTCTACTGATTTAGTGGAATAAACCAGGTTTTAGTGGCCAGGTCATTTAGCAACACAGTAGGGTAAACTCTGAGGGAAGACTCCATGTATTTGATAATTGAAGTTCTTGTGCTCAAACACCAACCGGACAACAGCATGTTCAAACTTATCTTCAGTGTTAGCAAAGTCCCAAGATGAAGAAAACACAACCGGAAATATCAAGACTAAAATGTGCATATTTCGAAACATATATTGAAGTGGTTATTGAAAGTGCAAATATTCAATCAAAAATGCCTTGGTAACAAAGATCAACAAGCCTTCAAAATGCAGATAAAACTCACTGTTACATAGCATTCTTAGAGTGAAAAAAAAAGTGTTGTGTTAAATAAATGGAAAATGCCAAACAACTACAACACAATTTTTTTCATAATAATATTAAAGAATCATGAAAAAAAATTCAGAAAATTAACAAAACAATTCATGATGCAAAGAAAAGAGTGTATTCCAAATGGTATCACTCAAACTTTCATCTTATGTTCAATAATAGTTCCCTTCCATGGACATTGTATCCCAACTGCGTGGATCGATGCTCATGATGTTGATCACTAGGTTGTCTGGCCCAGACTCGATTATTTACAGACCGCCGCCATATAGCTGGAATATTGCTGAGTGCGGCAACCAAACCCTTCCATGGAACAGAATATTCACAGTATTCAGAATATGTAATTCATATCCAAAAGTTCGAGACATTCGATAAAATTCAGTCATGAAACTCTCAAAATCCCCAAATTAATGCCATGCACATATAGAGCAGAACACAAAAAATATGAATTTATGTTGTTTTAACTTCTACGTCAAGATTTTGATGAGAAAAAAAAACTTTTTTTTCCCACTAGTCTATAAAAAATAAATGTTCAAAAGAAGAAGTAGAAAAATGTCTAGCAAAGTTAAGACATTCATCTTGGGAACTTTTGCAGAGACTGAAAGAGTCAGTTATCATTTAGCACCTCCTCCATTTGCGTGTTCCTCCATAGACGCGAAGCTCTGAGCCTTCTGTATTTTGGCCCTAGTGGTACCTTGTGACTTGGTCCGTTTCAACTCAGGATGTTGTTTCTTTTGCTTTAAGCTTGTAGGACTCATACAAACACCATTAATCTACAAATTAATTAAAAACCAGACACTAGTTATTCTTGGTGGCTTTTGCTCCCATTTGGAATAAAAAGAACCTAGAAGACTGTAAAAACTAGAAACAAAACAACTTAGTTCATCAACATGGCAAAACCAGAATGTGGTTGTTTTTGCCAAATATGACAAACCATTTAAAAGAAAATTGAAGAAAACCTTCATGCAATCACAACAAACACATGCTATCGCAAAACGAAAAAAATAAGGCCAAAAAAGAACATTGTTAAATCTATGTGGTCAATGATTTGCTTGAAATGTAACATATTCTGTCAGTGCAAGTAATCTTGTCCAACAATTTCCAAATTTTTAGTTTATATATAATTGTTTATTAGTTTCTTAAAGCACAATATCAGGTTGGGCTTCTGAACCAAAAGTGAAGTTTATTTAAAAAAATAGTCAAATTTTGGTTTTGAATTTCTTCAGACAATTATTCTAATGCTCATTTATTTGTTATAATCAAAACTTAAGAATAAAATTACATTAGCCTCCTTATTTACACAAACCAGGTTCCTGGCGATAAAGTTCTTGTAATGGTGTCCGAAAGTTGCCATAGACCTAAACAGTCTTCACAGATTTCAAGCACATCCTTGACCACCGTAAAACTGGTGCAGTGTTGTAAGAAGCCAAAGCAAGAAAGAGTGGAAGCCACTTATCACTGGCCATGAGCGCTTCAGTGCAGTTACGAAGCTAACAATAGTGGTCATACCCTGAAAAGGCAGGAGAGGGAGAAATCACGTCAAGGTTAGCAGACAATGTGATGAGACGACAAAATCATCAGATCAAAACAGTGCAGTTATCAATCTCCTCCAGAAAACTTCTAGTGAATAAAAATTCTCAAAAAGAACAAAAGGCGAAAAACATGACAAAAATGGCTAAAAAAAAAACCAGTCACAGAGTTACCTAATTTTTTGCCTTGGAAAAGGTCTACTAAGCTTATTCGTCGGGAAAGGGGCTTTTTCCCGTTTTCCCGCAAGTCTATGACATCAGCTCTCGCCTGGTCCCTCCATCCTCTCGTCCTATCCCGTTCCACATGAAAACCATCGTCATCACAATCAGCTTCACTGCCGCGAGGTTTGGCACCAATTGAACGAATTTTTGTACTCATTTTCCGCAAGAAACCCTTCCCACTGGCATCCACAGAATCACATTCCTTCCCCTCTGCTAGTGACAACTGTTCCACACCCAAACTCGAAGTCTCATCTCCTACCACACACATTGTGACCTGGTTCTCGTGGCCTGAAGTGACCTCCTGGCAAACGTTTTCTCGAGGACTGTCACTGTCAGATTTGTTATGACTGCTACTTGAATCCTTTTCCTTCGTCCCCCTTCCTTTGTAGGAATTCCGAATCCTTTTGATGAATGACTTCTTATGTCCTTGGTTGCTAGGCAAAGCACTAAGGTCAGGGTCAGAGGACGACCTTCGAACCAGTTTGCGGGTTTTCAGTAATACTTGATCATCTCGGATTTTCGTTGTGTCTGACATACACTTCTTGATCGATGGTTTTTGACTTTGCAGTGGTGGGTCAAGGTCACTGGAATCAGGGTCATGAATCGGTGGTGTGATGTCGCCATCATCCATACCTTCAGAAGCCGAGGTGTCACTGACAGCATTTTGAGCTGTTTCCTGCCTCAGCTCCCTCCTGCCAGACTGACTGTGTGCCTTTGGTCTGAATGGGGCAAGAGTTGCCCCTGCTTTATCGGAATTCGAACAACTGTTAAACAGTGGGTCGCCTGGACCAACAACAATTTCATACGGAGAAAATGGCTCATTTTGTAACGAAAACACATTTGAGTCGATTGAACACTCCGTGATGACCTTAAGGTCGCCTGAAGTTGCTCGATGTTTGGGTGGAGGGGGTCGTGGGGGAGGGGCGTTGGCCCCACCCTTAGAATCATCTTTTTTCTTTGATCTCGGTGCTGGTACTGGGGAGGTTACAAACATCGAGGGAGGCGAGGACTGAAATTAACATCACAACGAAAACACAATAAAATTAAACAAAAGACCAAGGAAAACGATGTTCATGCAAAAAGAAACAATAACCAAAGCTCTGCCGATTCCACCTATGTGCTGGTAACAACTGTTTACGTCACAAAGTGTAACACTGAAGAGAATTCACCATCAAGTATTCCAACTGTTAAATCAAAAGTGTTAAAACACAAACGTCTAGGAACAACATATAACTATAACATATTATGTAGGAATCAAAACATTCTCTAAAATCAAAATTATCTTCATTTCCCATTTTCAACATCATCATTTTTTTTCCCAAACATGCTAATTTGAACCCAAAATTTGTTTTGGGATATATATTCAGCTGAAATTTTAACAAAGTGTTTATTGAGTTTTCAAAATATCTAAAGAGTCAAATTTAAGCTCCCAGAAATGATATTTGAGATAATAATTTCAAAGTTTTCATATGAAACAGTTCAAACAGCACAAGGCTGAAGAAGCAGTTGGCTCTGCCTCCAAAATAGAAATAAGCTACCAGCTGCCTGTCATGGCATAGAAAGATGATAACTAAAACTAACAAATTAAATCAGCTTTACACTAAGAATCACAACATAGTCAGTGAGTGCAAAAGCATGAAATGACTACCAATAGATCCAACAATAGAAACTCAGCATAGAAAATAACCAAAGTCTGGCAAACTAAGAATTCAAATACTGTCATTAATAGCAACATCACTAAATTATTTCATTAAATATACAATATTTCAACACATGGAATTATCATGATAAATACATATATCAAAAGTCAGGTATCATTAACCAAAAATAATAATTTCAGACAAAATTCAAAATGCATCATCTTGATGGAGACTTAATGTTCTGGAGATGTAATTCAGAATCATATTCTTAAAATAACATTATTTTTACTGTAATGCTTCTTATATTTTAAAGGATCAAGCCAATTGTTCTATATGTGCTACCAAAGCCTGTTAGTTCTGCAGTATCTAAGCAAGCTGCTTTGGTAATGTTAATCAAAAAAGTGTTAATATTGACGTAAAAAATTCAAAATTTAAATTTGAATATTTTTCCAGGTTGGTACTTTTGGATGACACACCTGATCTGTAGTTGGTGATTTTGATTCCTCGGAATTCTGACCAACACCTTCAGCATTCTGTGGTTTCTTTCCTCGTGGAGATCGTGGCGCCCTCTGGTAGGGGTCCATAGAACCTGGAGAAAACATCCCATCATCGTCAGCTCTATGTTGTCAGTCCCGAGTTCATTACGACTAGCTACTTCTGTCAACTATAATGTTAAACACTATCATGGCATTTGGTAATATCTCACTAATAATGTCTAATAAAATCTGAAATACACCACACGTAGAGTTTATCTTCACATATGCATCTCTGCAGTCAATGATAAATTACAATTGTCATTATCAAATAATATTGAGTCATATTGTTTGGTCTCTTGCAATGCACACAATGAAAATGCATGATTAAATTTAAATCAAAATCAGGATGTTTTGGGCTAAAGTTCATCTCCAACTACTACAAAGGAGATTTGAACCTGTACAATGATATTGTTGGTTTGATTATCTCATGATTTGATTCCATGACCAATGCTTACATTCCAAGAACAACTTAATTTGTTTTTTAAGGCCACTTTGCAAATATCAAAACAAAAATCTAGTATGCGTTTTCAAAGTGTAACAGTACATCTACATGAAAATATCTCTAATCAATAACAATTTATGAAAGTAAACAAAGACAAAAATATAAAAAAACACATGCTGAGAATATAAAGACAGTGTGCTCCCATTATCTCGAAGTTTGGAGAGATCTTTAGCATGACAATGAACGATGGAATTCTTTACACCAAGTCAGCAATATCAGAGCCAAATCACAGCAGCCTATAAATAAAATAACCGTGTTTGAAACCACAATCATCAATCTCATCATCCTTGGATGGAGTGAGTATTGTTTTACGCCGCGTTTAGCAATATTCCAGCAATATCACGGTGGGGGACACCAGAAATGGGCTACACACATTGTGCCCATGAAGGGAATCGAACCCGGGGCTTCAGCATGACGAGCAAATGCTTTAACCACTTGACCACTTGACCATTCCCGCACCAACACACACCCAGCAAGATTAGACATTGCAGCTAACAAATTCACAATTCCAAGCCAAAGGCCAGTTTCACAACGAGATCCCAATGCTGTGACTGCTGTATGTTAAAGTATAGGAGTTAAAACAGTCCTAGTACAGTGATCAGTTTATGAAACACAAAAGATGAATCTGCTTTGGGTTGCCCTACCAAAAACCCACAAACTGTATTCTTTCTTCAGAAATATTCAAATATTGCACACAAAAAGTTATTAGAACATTGGGCATGGCAGGGGATATCAGAAATGGGCTTCACACATTATACCCACGTGGGGAATCGAACCCGGGTCTTTGGTGTGACGAGCAAACGCTTTAACCACTAGGCCACTAAGTATAGGGGTTAAGACAATCTTCGTACAGTGATTGCTTTGTGAAGCTGTTGTGAGTCTTTTCTTCAGAAATATTAAGATATTGCCCACAAAAATAACATCAGAACATGGGTCACCCAAAACCAACTTCGAGATAACAGGGCATCTGCCGAAAAAAATGCCAATATTGATACTGATTATGATAAAGAGCTGTCAAGATGAGGTGATGAAATATCCCTAACCTTGGAGTGTGTGAAAGTAGGGAACTGGCTTGTGAGAGGGGTAGAGGCGGAAGGGAGGTACTGACAGACAGTTGGATAGACAGATGGACACCAGACTGGACATACATACAGAAGGGTCAAGCAAGCGATTAGTTCTAGGCATACGACCTGGGGAGGAAACATGGAAACGATTCAGCATCAACCGAATCTTCAACATTACAGCTATATACAGAATTGCCATCTAATTTCACTGATGCTATAACAATCATTTAAGTGAGTGAGTGGGTTTGGTTTTACGCCGCTTTTAGCAATATTCCAGCAATATCACGGCAGGGGACACCAGAAATGGGTTTCACACATTGTACCCATGTGGGGTGGAAAGCCCAATGTAAAGAAGGTCTCAGACGCATGGGTAGACGAAGTGAGCGAGTATGGTTTTAGTCTACAAAAAGTGTAGATCCCAGTCCAACCCAAATATATTCCTCCCAATAATTGTAATGGCCGAGTCAATGGTTCCAGTCTACAAAAAGTGTAGATCCCAGTCCAACCAAAATTTATTCCTCCCAATAATTCCAATGGCCGACTCAATGGTTCCAGTCAACAAAAAGTGTAGCCCAACCCAAATATATTCCTCCCAATAATTCTAATGGCTGAGTCAATGGTTCCAGTCGACAGTCCTCGTCGGTCAGTACATTGGTTACATGTTAAGTTTATCACAAACAGAGCCCAATGATTCTTGGCTACCAAACACTAAATGATTTAGCACACATTTGTTTTAGTAAAAGCATGTTCAATTTGACCATGTATGTTCAAGTCAGTGAGAGAGTGAGTGTAGTTCTACGCCCCTTTTAGCAATATCATGGCAGGGGGACACCAGAAATGGGCGTCACACATTGTACCAATGTGGGGAATCGAACCCTGGTCTTCGGCGTGACGAGCAAACGCTTTAACCACTAGGCTACCCCACCGCCCCTTAAGTTCAAGTCAGATGTTCACTAAACACAATGTTGAACACGAGACTGAATGAACTAGGATTACAGCTGCCTTGAACAGTATTTCAGTCGTATCGCAGCAGAATAACGTCTGTCAGGAAAACCAAAACTTATCTGTGTCAAATTGAAAAAGAGGGCTGGTACAGACAAACCAGATTCGAACCCACAACATGGCATAAGAATGCACCTGTTGTCCACAAACCCCACAATGGGTCAGCGGCCTACCAAGACATCTACAAGTAGGAAGGGTTAAGTGAGTAGGTCTCTCTAGGGGTTTTAGATAGGATCACAGGGCATGAGCTTCGATCATCTTTACAACAGAAACAATACAAAAGAGAATGTAGAGACATGTTAGCTTTGATGGTGCGTTAGTTGACAGTAAAACTGATATTCAGAAATATCATAAGGCCAGACCAATTTTATTTCTTGTTTTACGGATCCGCCTGTCATATTTTTTCAAGAATAAGAAAAAACAAAAATTAATTTTCCCCGCTCAAAAAATAAAATCCTGATGTTTTCATTGGCCAAAAATGTAAACTTACAAGAAAAATGTTTTTAGATGTTTTTGCCCCATATACACCAGGGGCGGATACAGCTTTTTGAGAAAGGGGGGTGCACACTATTGAGAAAAGGGAGGGTGCACACTTCATTTTCACCCGAGTTTCAATGGTCATTTAATAAACTTTCAGGACAAAAGGGGGGGTGCGCACCCCTGCACCCCCCCTCTGGATCCGCCTATGTACACTTCATGAAGTGTCAAAAGTAAAATACTTTGAGTATTTAGAAGGAATATTACTTTGACTGGTGATTTTATTTTTTTTATTTTTTCCCTCCTGCCTTTAGGTTTTCTGAGGACAAAAATCCGTAAAACAAGAAATAAAATTGGTCTGGCCTAAACTGTAAGATGAAAGGATGTGATTAACATTTGAAAATATGAATACGATGACAAATCTTAACCTTGATAGTACAATATTGTTATAGAATATCCATAAATTATACACAGTGACACTGACATTTCCATAACAATGGAGCATTCATTGCTTGGATTTCATCACAACAGAATTGTGTTGTATAGTTCCATGATATAACATTCCTTTTTCTGTAAATGACATAAACTATGAAAATCAATAACACTATTGTACATTCTTAATATCATAGATATATAAAATAAGTAGCACCAAAAATATCATTCCTATTTTTGCATTTAGGCTTCTTTTGTTTATGTTTCCAAGAATATCTGGCTTTCGACGACTTACTTGACTTAAAACTTTTTATAATGGGGATTTTGAATGTTTCAAAATGCCAGACTTTTGTTTCATGGTCAAGGACGTATTTGCTATCAAGGTTAAATCGGATAACAAGATCAGACTGAATATACAGGTCAGACTTGAGACAAAGGTCAGATGCCAGATCAAGGTCAAGACTTCAGATCAAGGTCAAACATCAGATCAATGGGTTAGATATCAAGGTCACTCTTAAGATCAATGTCAGATCAATATCAAGGTAAAGACTTGTCATCATACCATGCAATATCTCATGCAGAATAATTTGGTAATGATAAATACTGTCAGTACATTATTTTGCCACTACTCCCAACAACTACCCAAAAACAGGTCCCAGACAATGACCTTGACCTTCCTCCGTGGAGGACTCACCATAGAGATCAGGGGTGCCCAGGTTCAGGAGACAGGTTCTCTGCATAAAGTCGATGATGGCCAGACCAGACTCATTCCCAAAGGCCATCCTGAAGAAAAAAGCATGAGTGAGTGAATTGGCCTTTCTATTCTTTCTACATCCTGGACTAGTCAAGTATAGAATTCCTTCTTGTCAACAGTAGGAAGGCGTTTCCTATTCTCGCGGTACTTACGGATATCGGCTGAAAAAATAACATAAACAATTCTTATCGTATGAATGCTTGTTGTTTTTAAATGAAGGGTCCTCTCCTCTATCATCTACATCTATCAGCTGCCAGATCCATCAGGTGAATTACCACTCGTGAGCCCGTGATAAACAATGCCATCCGCCATTGACGAAATGAGGCTTCTCCTATTCTCGCTGTATTACGAGGAATTAACGTTATTGAGTGTATGTAAGAGTCATCCTGCCGGAAAGGGCGGGAAAAAGTAATGATATGTCCAAGTTGGTATAAACTCCCCAATATTCGTGACACAGCAAGATTTTGATTATTCACCGACTTGGTCCACTTCCTAGTTACCAGTCGGTGATGTAAACAACCGCTAAGTGTCACGCATCGGCGATTTCGGCAGAAAACGTATTTACCGCGAGAATAGGAAACCCGCGAGAATAGGAGACGGACCTATACTTAGAAAAATTGAGTTCCATGTAAAGAAATCAACTATGCATCAAATAAGAATTTGAACTGAGATATTCAAAGTGGAGTTATTCCATTGTGATTTTCTCAACGGGTTCACCAGCATAATATGTATCTTATCTATAACATCTTATGTATACTCAACACAAAAGGTAACTAGTAACTAGGGCTGTGTATCGGCAAAGAACTTGCATTGCAATATATTGCGATTCAGGTACCCGTATTGCGATACACGTATTGCGATATATTGGGAACTTAAGTGTTTGACATTGTCTGACACTAATTGTGCGTGTCGATCCTATTTTCTACATTGTAAGTCCCTAGACATATGTTATGGTTCTGATAACAGCAATCTCAAAATTATGTTGCATAGTCATGGATTCTATTTTCCCCTTTTTATACAATTTATAGTATTACAGTATGTTCTTTTGTCAGATTCTTTCAGTTGTGTCACAACCCCTAGTGTACAGTACACAACCCTGTACACTTAAAAGAACCCTGGAATCCGTTGGTATATGACCTGATGGTGGCCACATGAATATGTGCAAACACCTAGTTGCTGGTACAGCAACGTGCAGTAAACTTGGACAAAGTACTGTGACTATGTGTCCCAGTCCACCCAGCTGTGAATGGGTACCTCGTAAGGATAGGAAAGCTGCAATAACTCGGTGCACCTTGTGGCAGCAAGAGTTGTATGATCCCCTGGGAGCTGAGATTGATAGCAAGATGTGTCGTTGAGATTGACATCCAATGGTCGAGGGAAAAAAATACCAGCGCCTTGAGCATGCACTAGTGCTTGGATATGTGCGCTATAAAAAATATCCAATAATAATAATAAAAAAATAATATGATAATAAGTATCAATTTCAGTTATCAATAAATTTAAAAATTAAATTAACAGTTAAATTTGTCTGTGTATACAAGTGGCATATGCAAGATCGGGGAGGGTGATGTTAGGCATTTTGCTATCTGTGCATGTGTCCTCGGGGCCGGTACACTCAGCATCTGGAACATGCCTTCAGGGAACAAAAGGAGGCATGTTTTTTGCAGCCCATGCCCATCTTGAGGTGTTAGCACAGTGCTGGAGGGTAACGTGCGATTGCCCAAGTGTGGACCAACTGTCTCCAGGCAATACACAATTAGGTCCTGACAGTCACTGAACAGAGCCCCAGGGAGTTGGCCTGGTTGTGAGTACTGGGAACTTACAAGCCGTATGTGGAGTTGACGAGGATGCTGGTGATGTTGCCCGGAGGTTCGCCATCCACCCACGTCAGCACACAGACCAGGTCAGGCTGGTAGCCTGCGCTCCATTTCCTACTGCCGGTCTTCACCTTCACAGATGTCGTGTGGTCGGACTGCTGGAACATAGGACTTCATGCAATACACGGAGGAAGTCTCTGCATCTAGCAGCATGTCTGGAAGTTTATCTGCTATAACTAGTCCATGTTTCAGGCATTACTTTGAGGTATTACTAGTCTGGAACATAGGACTTCATGCAATACACGGAGGAAGTCTCTAAATTCTTGTGAAATGTCTTGAATTTTATCTGTTTTTACTAGTCCACGTTTCATGCATTACTTTAAAGTATTACTAGTCTGTGAGGTTCAACTAGTCAATGATTGTAGTATTACTAGCCTACGGCTAGCACAGTACTAGTCCTTCACAGAGGTAAAATTTGTCCATAAATGAGATATTACTAGTTCGCAATTGTCGTATTACTAGTCCATGGGCAAAGTATTACAAAGAAATTGAAATGTACGCAATATCTCACTCCTAAGTACATTTTCATCTATGCAGTGTTGTATAGGATTACAAGTAATCATGGATGCATGTAAAAGTGAAACAACATTTAATGATTTCCTTAAAAAATATAACCATCAGTGAGTGAGTTTACATTTATGCCGCACTCAGCAATATTCCAGCTATATGACGGCGGTTGGACAAATAATCGAGTTTGTACCAGACAATCCAGTGATCAACAGCATGAGCATCGATCTGCCCAATTGGGAACCGATGACATGTTATGATGTATCAACCAAGTCAGCGAGCCTGACCACCCGATCCCTTTAGTCGCTTCTTCTGACAAGCATGGGTTACTGAAGATCAATATTCTAACCCGGACCTTCACGGGTTAACCATCAGTGAGAATTAAGCTATACCATGTGCAGGTAGGGATACAATTTGGCACTAACCACTAACCCGACTCAGTGTCTCTTATGTAGTGTGTGAGTGAGTATTGCTTAATGTTGCATCAACAATTTTGCAGCTATTCGCGACCTTCTCTCTCATCTACCGTTGCAGTAAGGTCTTATATCAGGACCATTTTTTCTATGATGTCTACATGACATCTCTTTGGGGCTAGAAAATCTTTCAGATTATTTTGTAGTTCATATATGTGACAATGACTACGAGGTCAAGAACAATGAAAACAATGATAACAAATTTCACTTAAATGTATGTAAACAGTTTCAAATATTTAACATTTCATATTGTTTTTATATCAGTGCTGACAAAATCATAATGGTTGAAAAGTCAGCAGATATGAACTTCCACAGAATCCCTGGTCATCCCAAGCACCCACCTTGGCACTGTCGGAGGTATTACTGGAGTAGGAGCCCATGCTACCACTGGTCTGTGTCACCAGGCCCAAACTCGGCTTGGGGTAGTCATACTCAGGAGAATCAAGGTCATCATAGATTTCATATACAATAGACGTCTCTAAAAACTGAAAAACAATAAGCCGTGAGTGAGTGAATTGGACTTTACACATCTTTGAACATGATATCTATCATACTACTGCATGTCAGCTTGTGTGGAGGGAGACTAGAAGTGATGGGGGTCTGACATGTCTACCACTAAATGAAACCCAGGTTGGAGCAGACAAACCATAAAACATAGCCAGGGAATCAAACCCACATTCTGAGGGTTTCTGGCAAGCCAGTTGGGTGGGACACCAGAAATGGGCTTCACGAAGTACACCCACATGGAGAATAGAACCCTGGTCTTCAGCTTGAGGAGCCAACAATATAAAACCCACAAAACCCTGGTTGGTGCTGACAAACCATGAGTGAGTGAGTGAGTTTAGTTTTTCGCCTCTTTTAGCAATATTCCAGCAATATCACGGTGGGGAACACCAGAAATGGGCGTCACACCAGAAATGGGTTTAACGTCAGAACATTGTACCCATGTGAGGAATCGAACCCGGTCTTCAGCATGACGAACCCGGTCTTCAGTGAACGCTTTAACCACTAGGCTACCCCACCACCCCTCGACAAACCATGAAACATGATAAAGGAATCAAACCCACATTCACAGGTTTCGGGCTTGCCAATGGCATGGCACATCAGAAATGGGCTCACACATAGCACCCACATTGGAAATCACACCCTATGCTTCAGCATAACAAGCGAACACTTTAACCACTAGGCTAACCACCTGACTGCAGCGTTTGAGCACCACCTGTGTCCTCAATATAAGCTCAGGCAACTCACAATGAACAAAGTCACAGAACAAGCAACTTCCATCAGTCAATTCATCAACACCTGTTTCAGGAAATTTCCAAGCCAGTTATGGACAATGGTGTCAAGAAAGTCCCAACTTGGTCTGCAAATTAGGTTTACTACATTGCATCATGACCCTATTCAATATCATCTGCAGTGTTTGAGTCAAGTTTGAATAATAAGAAGTGCCTGTCCATCCCCATTATGAAGTTCTTTGTATGAACCGAGCAGCCATATCACCAGTAGTGGATTCCCCTTGACCTTAATACAACTGGGTGTCTTGTCGCAGTCTTCCCAGGGGTGGAAATAACTTTAAAATTGCTAGTGTACTCCGGTACAGTGGCACATGTGAATTCACTTGCCCTGATAATTTTTCTACTATACAGGCTGTTTTCTTGTTGATTTTTTTAATAAACAACATAATTAACATTGGAAAGTCAACTGGATGCCGGTACAGTATGAATTAGCTTGCCCGACAGAAAAAAACACTGGACTAGGACGTCGGGCAATGGGTTATTTCCACCCCTGCTTCCCCTCCCTTCCCTTCTCCTAATACAGAGGGAAACATCATTCCCAGATAAAAATTATTTATAACATCTAATTTAATTAAACATACTGAGGACTCTTTCGACACAATTTCTGTACAATTTGATTAAAGCAAGTCAAGCAATATCGTGGCGATCAACTCCAGAAATGGGCTTCACACATTGTACCCATGTGGGGAATCGAAAATGGGTCTTTGGCATGACGAGCGAATGCTTTAACCACTAGGGCTACCCCACTGCACCCTATCAAGGCTGGAGACACCACAGAACACTGTGAAGCTATTCTGACAAATCATTGGGCTGGGAACACTTGTTGTGAGAACTTACAGGGATATCAAGGTTTGCCTCTTGTTTGCTGAACTTGAAGAGCATGCAATGACTTGCCCCTGCCACACACAGCAGACGACTCTCGCTACACATGTAGATCATCTGGATTGCAAAAGGGTCATCGTCTTGACTTTCCGGCGTCTTTTTTGGTTTTTCGAAGATTTTGGCAGTTTTTAGCTTGTACAACACTTGCAATGTCACTGAAATGGAGAAAATGAATTATACAATTAGCTTGAATGCATTCCATACAATGTCTGTTTGTTTCTTTCCTTGTTGCCTCTCACAGCAATATTCCAGCTATGATGGTAGTCTATAAATAATGATGTCTGCACCAGACATTCCAGGGGTTGATATCATGAACACTGATCTATGCAAAGGCAATTACATTCATCAACATAAGGCTCTTTACCCGATCCATTGAGCCACCTCCACATGACCAATTCTAACCAATTTCCAGATGCATTTCAATCCTGAAATCTGTGTGCGAAATAGTTTCAAAATTTTGCTGGCCAGTAAGCTAGCTATGCCTGAAAGTTACTAGCCCACAAAATAATTCACTAGTCCGAAATATGAATGTAGACACGGGTTTCATCATTAAGCTGCTAATATGATGATCATTTTTATCAGGCCATAATCTTGCAAGATTTAACTTAACAAGTCAGAGAGAGTGACATATTTACAAAGTGACCCCATGAAAATTCACTAGCCAGTCGGGCCAATTGACTGGTCCGACTGGATTTCTACTAGCCACGGACTAGCAGGCAAGTGGCTATTTTGCACACTGCCTGAAATACAGACTCATTTGTCTAGCAGGTTTCAGCTCATACACATACTGTGATGTACTGGAAATATTCAGTCAAAAACAGGGTCTTCAAAAAAGATGAGTGAGTGAGTGATTGAAATTGGTTTAGGCTGACAGAAAACTCTGGCATTTCAGCTTACGGCGGTAATAATGAGAGCATAAGGAAATTACAGTGGCCTGCAATTTGCCTGATAACTTGCAAGATGTTTTATGATAATTGTTTCCATTTTGGCAGACTGCTGTTTGACTCACCAGCAGAAGCATCCCAGAACTTGAGAGATCCATCAGCATGTCTGCAGCATACAAAAACACAATAATAACCGTGACAGCAATCACTGAGCAGGTGCTTGCTATTTTACATCGCTGCAACAAATATTCCAGCCATATGAAAGGTGAGTTGAGTTTTACGCCGCTTTTAGCAATATTCCAGCAATATCATTGTATCCATGTGGGGAATCGAACCTTGGTCTTCGGCGTGATGAGCGGATGCTTTAACCACTAGGCTAAGCCACCTTCCCCCTCCAATATGAAACCAATCTCCATATATTCAAACCACTGGTTGATAGCATGAACACTGAACAGTGCTGTCCAATAACTAGGTCAATCTTATTTACAAATTAGTGTTATACCTTTAGTCTTTTGGTGGACCAAATACGACATGACCTTTTTCCTGCTTTCCATTTAAAAAGATCATTAAGAATAAAAATTGGTTTATAAAAACAGTGGTTAAAATCATGAACATTGATCCTAGTCACAATTAACTAGGTCAATCTTAGATGCTGGATTGGCATTTTAGAAGATGCTATTTGATGAACACAGATATTTATGGGTTACATCTTCTTTTTTATTCTTGAGTACAACGTTTCGGGGCTTGTTCTGGCCTCATCATCAGGTAAAACTGAAAATTAGGTCAATCTTATTCCAAAATTATTATTATTATTAAAATATTATTCCAAAATTAGTGTTATCAATTGGTCTTTTGGGTGGCAAAAACATCTTCCAATTTAACACAATCATTATCAATCATAATTTAACACAATCATTATCAATCATAATTTGTTTCTAAAACAAAACTGAGGTTTCATTAGTCAAGCTACTTTTATGAAAGTGAAAATTCATTTCATCCACGAAAGCCATCTCAATGTTTTATGTACACTCCTCAATCATCAAATCAACATCCAGAATTGATTTTCCAAAGAAGCGATTATTTTAAAAAAGAATCAAGACACAGCTGTTTCTCTTGACACATACAGGTTTCACCTCGATTATACACCAACACCCACATCCCAAAGGATGACGTCCTCCTAAAGGCCCTGGAAGTTATGGTTTAAAGAAAATACTTCATTAAAAATTAATTACTAAATATTCATTACAACACACTTTAAAAAGCTTAAGCAATTCCCACGTGTATCCATCAGAAACAATTACCACCTTTGTTGGCCGTTTCTTGGCTGCGTGGCTCAACACTATATTGTGTCTTGGGGTTATGGATAACTATGAGCTGAGGTGAAATTGGGTTTAACGTCGAGCTTGAGAATATTTCGCTCATATGACGACATGCATGTGTGTGTATGTGTATGTGCGGCTGCTTGTACTAGCCCAGACTTAAGCTGGTTTTATAGTGCTAGCCCACTGAGATACCATGCCGCAGTGAAGCATGAATACCCCACTCAGACACATTATACTGACTCTGAGCCGACCAGTCCTTGATGTACCCATCAATGACGAGAGCCAGGCAGGGACCAACAAGTACTATATTTTAACGTATTTTGGTATGACGCGGCCGGGGATCGAACCCGCGACCTTCCGCTCTAACCATTACACCACGGAGGTTTGGATAACTATGGAAAAAAGGAACTGCAAGCAGTATCTTTATCAGTATATTGCCCAAGCTAAAGGTCCAGTGATCAGGTTTTATTAAATATTTTCATCAGAATCATTTGTTGACTCATTCTCTTTAGTTGGAAGTGTTGGGTTTTACATGGTAACTTCTTAGAACTATTCAAGGAAGAATGGAAGGTTGCCATGTTTGGAATCAAACCCAGATACACAGGTGCCATAAGATAGTACACTCCAGAGTAATTCACATAAAAAGTAGATGTTTTTCACCATAAGCTAACACACTGCAGAGTAATTCACAGAAAAAGTCTGTGCCTAGCACGACCAGAGAAACTAATTTTAAATTACATTGTTATCCTTTTAAAGTCGACATTCATGTCAAAATTGACTTGTTTAATGGACTGACTGGCAGTTAACAGAGCTGTGTGGTATAAGAGATTAAGCTGGAGCATTAGATTTCTTGATTTTCACAAACTTTCAGTGATTTACGTACTAATAGACATTCAAATACCTAGCTATCCAAAGATAACAATCGACTATCTAACAATCAAAATCTTCTATCCAACCATTGAAATCAGCATCATGGAGACGCTACCAGGGCCTTGTTCCACAAAGGGATCATAGCGCTGGGATTGCCGTAAGTCTATGTTAAAGAATGGGAGATATTGTCGCCCAAGCTCTAAGATTGCTTTATGGAATGGGGCCTATTTGAATTTAGATGCATACTTTCCATTCCTTACTAAGTCTTGAAAATTGTTTTCGTTTAACAACTGTGTCAGCAACAACACTCACCCTGTGATGATGATTTCTGGATAACTGCAAGCCAGTGTAGGCCACTCTCCTCCCTGTACTGGCCAGCCCTGCTGAAACATCACCATTACAGACACTGTCACCACCAGGCCTCAGACACGATACAGGTGTCTGGGAGCTATATACCCCTGTCACCAGACCTCAGACATAACATAGACATCTGGGAGCTATATACCCCTGCCACCAGACCTCAGACATAACATAGACATCTGGGAGCTATATACCCCTGTCACCAGACCTCAGACACAATACAGACATCTGGGAGCTATATACCCCTGCCACCAGACCTCAGACACAATACAGACATCTGGGAGCTATATACCCCTGTCACCAGACCTCAGACACAATACAGACATCTGGGAGCTATATACCCCTGCCACCAGACCTCAGACACAATACAGACATCTGGGAGCTATATACCCCTGTCACCAGACCTCAGACACAATACAGACATCTGGGAGCTGCATCTCTGTCATCACCAGACCTCAGACACAATTCAGACATCTGGGAGCTATATACCCCTGTCACCAGACCTCAGACACAATACAGACATCTGGGAGCTGCATCTCTGTCATCACCAGACCTCAGACACAATACAGACATCTAGGAGCTATATACCCCTGTCACCAGACCTCAGACACAATACAGACATCTGGGAGCTATATACCCCTGTCACCAGACCTCAGACACAATACAGACATCTGGGAGCTGCATCTCTGTCACCAGACCTCAGACACAATACAGACATCTAGGAGCTATATACCCCTGCCACCAGACCTCAGACACAATACAGTCATCTGGGAGCTACATACCCCTGTCACCAGACCTCAGACACAATACAGACATCTGGGAGCTATATACCCCTGTCACCAGACCTCAGACACAATACAGACATCTGGGAGCTACATACCCCTGTCACCAGACCTCAGACACAATACAGACATCTGGGAGCTGCCTCTCTGTCATCACCAGACCTCAGACACTCAGACATAACACAGATGTCTGGGAGGTATATCTCTGTCCATATACAGACATGACACCCATACACAAATTGCAAGAATTCATGGATGTCAACTTCTATATTTGAGGAACCTATGGGGTTCCTCAAATAAAGAACTTGACATCCATAAATACTTGCCTTCATGTTTATCACTTCTAAGTGTCGTTCAAAGACTCCATACACACAGACACAACACAGATGTTTGGGAATTCTATCTTTGTCCATTCACACAGACACCACACCCATTCACTCAGACACAACACAGATGTCTGAGAATTCCATCTCTGTCCATACGCACAGACACGACACAGATGTCTGAGAATTCCATCTCTGTCAAAAACGCACAGACACGACACAGATGTCTGCGAATTCCATCTCTGTCCATACGCACAGACACGACACAGATGTGTGAGAATTCCATCTCTGTCCATACGCACAGACACGACACAGATGTCTGAGAATTCCATCTCTGTCCATACGTACAGACACGACACAGATGTCTGAGAAGTCCATCTCTGTCCATACGCACAGACACGACACAGATGTCTGAGAAGTCCATCTCTGTCCATACGCACAGACACGACACAGATATCTGGGCCTTCACCATCACCATAATACGGTGACAGATATGGCAGGTCCACCACTGCCCAGACACACAGACAGTCAGTGACAGGAACAGACATGATACAGATTTCAGGTAGATCCAATATTTAAACAAAAATTCAATGCATGCATTCTGATTTAAAACCCAGCCAGACCACCAGTTTTCTGCCCACCTTTTCTGTGAAGCCAGTTTTCTTCTGTTTTGAGCCGACAGAGTAGAACGCAGGTATGAGGTCTGGGGGGCAGTCAGCGTAATACTGACAGGCCGTCACTGGAGACTCATGCAGGTCCATTGGGTATGGGTTCTCAAAACATGGGTATCTGCAACACAGTACAGTGTAACTTCAACACCCGGACATGTAATAATAATAGTAATACCTTCATTACTATCCCCGGGCATAGGAAAAACTATCATACTATCCAATACTTTTTCAACACCCTGGGGATCACACAGTCATGCTGCCTGTTAGGTGCAATGAACTGATCACTCACATTGCCAGAACATCCTCACGGATACCCATTTTACAGCTGGATGAAGTGAGACAATGTGGATCTAAGTATCTTGTCCAAGGATACTACGCATATGTGCCTATCTCAGGACCCGAACCTAGGTGCCTCCACCGGGGATCGAACCCGGGCCTTCAGCATGATAGGCAGACGCCATACCACTGCACTATTGCAAGCGATTTCTATGTTGTCTTTCCTGTATCAAACATTGACTAATTTAACACTGCAGACTGTACATCTCTAGCTGTAAACAATCTGGAATCGGTGTAACAAAACTGTCATAGATTAGAGTAGTGCCATTTGAAACAAATACTAGCCCAAACTCAACATTTACGAGAATATATACTACTGGAATAAAGTAACTGTGCATTATTTGATGTTATGCCATTTTTTTAATGCAATGATAACAACCAAAATGTCTGGCAATTTTTGGCCATTGCAGTCTCCAGCATACCCAGCATACCCGTCTCCAGCACACCCACCATACCCAGCATACCCGTCTCCACCATACCAACCATACCCGTCTCTAGCATAGATGCTGACTTTCGTGACATGACGTACACACAATTTAGGTTGGAATTTTTGGCCATTGCAGTCTCCAGCATACCCAGCATACCAGTCTCCAGCATACCCACCATACCCAGCATACCCGTCTCCAGCATAGATGCTGATTTTCGTGACATGACGTACGCACAATTTAGGTTGGAATTAACATGTTTTCCACAACATTCAGAGGCTAGAGAATAATTTTCAATATCATGTGTGTGAACTTCAAGGGTCAAAAACATGCAAAAAGGGAGTAAGTTCATTGTGCCCAAAGTGCATGCGCCACGCGCGATACATGACATTAAATGTTATGCAAAGTGCTTTGTTACATGTTTATTTAGTGTTATTTCATTACTTTTCAAAAGCTTTTATTTTATGCAATTTTAAGTTATGCACAGTTACTTTTTTCGGTTAGTTTGCTTAATCCTTCATCCTTCTGACGAAGGAGTGACACTCTAAAACTCCTTATCCTAAACAAGCCGACATCCATCAACAAGCCCCAAGAAACAGATCCGGACTGGAGTACATTCTGATGTGGTAAAACATGGTTAATGTCACATTTCATGTACATGTATGTGTTGCTGTTCGATATATGAGGGAGTTAGTTAATTTTGTGACTTCAGCCATATTTGTTTACATAACAGTCACATTTTCGAAACTTTTGATGAAACTGTTGGAGACGCTACATTAAAACTTCTCGTGTATTAGGGTTTGCATGGATATATTCAATTGTTCCAGCAGTTCCATTCAACGTCATTTGCATTTTTATCACATCATGATAACCAGTTAAGACTTTCAGACTGCCTAATGGCATTATCCTTGAGATAAATTATGTAAATTATTCTGTCTTACCCAGGTGACGTAAGATCCACAACAACAAGATCATTTTGCAGCAGCACGACAATAGCATAGGGGTCTTGGAAATCTGAAACAAACATATACATTTATACATAAAGGCCACAAATAGTAGTCAATTTCAAGTAATAACCATTAGCTTGACAGTCACTGCACTGATTCCTGGTATTGCGCTGGTTTAATTATTTTTTTAGATAAATTCTAGATGAAATTCATGGATTGAGGGAGTGAGTTTGGTTTTATGCCACTTTTAGCATTATTCCAGCAATACCATGGCAGATAACACAAGAAATGGGTTTCACACATTGTACCCATGTGGGGAATCGAACCTGGGACTTTGGAGTGATGAGCGAACGCTTCAACAACTAGGCTACCCTGCAGCTCTGAAATTCATAGAAGTAAGGAAGTGGATAATGTATAATCCTCAGTAAGCATATTCGAGCTTATATCACAGCAATCTGTCAATAACAATCCCTTGATAAATAGTGGCTGCTACCATGTGCAATGATCCAGCCATACCACAGGATTCGAAAGAGGTCACAACGTGTAACCATCCAATCACAACTTGTTGACCCTTACAAAGTATAGGGGACCCATTTTTCACAAGACATCCCTTTAGGAGACAAGCAAAGAGTACTAGGGACCTATTTTCTCAAGACATCCCCTTCTAGAGACAAGCAAGAGTACTAGGGACCTATTTTCTCAAGACATCCCCTTCTAGAGACAAGCAAGAAGTACTAGGGATCTATTCAACACAAGAATTCCCTTCAGGAGACAAGCAAGGAATATTAGCGACCTATTGTTCAAAGGAAGTCCCTTCATCCCTTCAGGAGACAAGCAAGGAGTAACAGGGACATAACTTTCACAAGAATTCCCTTCGGGAGAAATGTAAGGAGTGATAGGGACCTAATTTTTACAATATTTCCCATCTGGGGAAAAGTAAGGAACACTGGAGACCTATTCTTCAAATTAATTCCCTTCATCCCTTCAGAAGAAAAGCAAGGAGCACTAGGGACATATTCCTTACAAGAATTCCCTTCTGGGGAAAGGTAAGGAGTGCTTGGGACATATTCTTTACAAGAATTCCCTTCTGGGGAAAGGTAAGGAACACTGGGGACCTATTCAGCCCGGTTTCCATAATGTAAAGACTGTGGCCCTCACCATTTGACCATGGAGTCTCACAAAGCACCACAAAGTCCACCACATTGTGTTCCATCTCTAACACAGTGGTGCTCCTTCCATTCATCACTGTAATACTTGGAGTCCGGCCAGCTCGGTCATATGACATTCCACCTGAGAAGATCACGAGTGGCTCACTGAAACACAAAATCAGGGCAGTTATTTCCCCTGTACAAGTGGAATACTCAGGTTTTACAAGCACTTCTAAGACTCTTTGTCTGTGAACCAATTGTTTAAAAAGTCCCTGAGAGAGTGAGTGAGTGAATTAAGTTTTACACCATTTTAGCAATATTCCAGCAATATCCCGGCGGGTGACACCAGAAATGGGCTTCATACATTGTATCGATGTGGGGAATCAAACCTGGATCTTCGGCGTGATGAGAGAACACTTTAACCCCTAGGCTACCCCATCCTCCCCATCCCTGAGTGAAAGCAAGAAGTCAGACCGCCGCCATATGGCTGGAATATTGCTGAGTGTGGCGTTTAACAATAAACAAACAAAACAAAACGATCTATGGTTTTCTCAGGAGGGCCATCAAGACAATCAATATGAAATACTTATACCATGTTTTTGTCCAGGCACCTATCGCTTTTAACTCACTCTGTGATAAGACGGAGTTGACACCAATACTGAATATCAACTTTGTTACATTACATGATGAGATAGAAATGTAGCTTGACAAGCAAACACAAATATCTTCAAAATCCATGTAAATTTCGAATAGTTACCAAAACAATTATCTCCAAAATACAAGTTGTTCACTTCTATCAAATTATTTCATCACCTAGAACTGAATTAAATACTCTATGTTTTACACAAATATCTTCAAAATCCATGTAAATGTCTGATATTTACCCAAAAAATAAAAGTGTCTCTGAAATACAAGTTAGGCACTTTTACCAAATTATTTCATCACCAAGACCTGCATTAAATTCTCTGTTATTTCACAGAACATCAACAGCAGCATTTTCTTTTCATAAACTATAACATAATTCCTTTCCTCCTCAAGCTATCCTGAATGGACTGACATTCTGAAACCATGCCAGCTAATATGAAGAACTCTATTAAGTCTGTGAAAGCAATAACCAGAGACTGACAACCAGCTTACCCATTTCGGATTGATTTCCAGTCGACCTTGGTTATAGGTTTGCACGGGTCTGGTTTGCCATCTTTGCCAATTTTGGCTGAAACAAAAGGCATCATTGAAACATACTTAGGTTCAGCTTGACCCCCTAAGGTCAAGGTCAAGGTCCTACCCCACACTGAAGCAATGGGAATCTGGGTAAATTACGTCTGCTGTGTTCTCTCTACGTAACATCTAGTGTCTCCTTAAGCAGGCGACTTCGTTTGAAAGATGCCATTGTTCACCCTGCAGTGAATGGGTACCCGGTTGGATGAGATAGTAATGTGACTGTTCACCTTGTAGCATGTTAGTGGTGGATGTAACTCCACCCTGCAGTCAATGGGTACCTGATAGTATGAGATAGTAATGTGACTGTTCACCTTGTAGCATGTCAGTGGTGGATGAATACTCCCAATGGATCAGAGAATGATGTAGAATTCACCTTGCAGTGAATGGGTATCTGGTAGTATGAGATAGTAATGTTCACCTTGTAGCATGTTAGTGGTGGATGTATACTCCCAATGGATCAGAGAATGGTGTAGAATTCACCCTGCAGTCAATGGGTACCTGGTAGTATGAAATAGTAATGTGACTGTTCACCTTGTAGCATGTCAGTGGTGGATTTATACTCCCAATGGATCAGAGAATGATGTAGAGTTCACCCTGCAGTCAATGGGTACCTGGTAGTATGAGATAGTAATGTTCACCTTGTAGCATGTCAGTGGTGGATGAATACTCCCAATGGATCAGAGAATGATGTAGAATTCACCCTGCAGTGAATGGGTACCTGGTAGTATGAGATAGTAATGTTCACCTTGTAGCATGTCAGTGGTGGATGTATACTCCCAATGGATCAGAGAATGGTGTAGAATTCACCCTGCAGTCAATGGGTACCTGGTAGTATGAGATAGTAATGTTCACCTTGTAGCATGTCAGTGGTGGATGAATACTCCCAATGGATCAGAGGATGGTGTAGAATTCACCCTGCAGTCAATGGGTACCTGGTAGTATGAGATAGTTATGTGACTGTTCACCTTGTAGCATGTCAGTGGTGGATTTATACTCCCTAAGGATCAAAGAATGATGTAGAGTTCACCCTGCAGTGAATCGGTACCAGGTGGTATGAGATAGTAATGTTCACCTTGTAGCATGTCAGTGGTGGATGTATACTCCCAATGGATCCGAGAATAATGTTGAGTTCACCCTGCAGTCAATGGGTACCTGGTAGTATGAGATAGTTATGTGACTGTTCACCTTGTAGCATGTCAGTGGTGGATTTATACTCCCAATGGATCAAAGAATGATGTAGAGTTCACCCTGCAGTGAATGGGTACCAGGTGGTATGAGATAGTAATGTTCACCTTGTAGCATGTCAGTGGTGGATGTATACTCCCAATGGATCCGAGAATAATGTTGAGTTCACCCTGCAGTCAATGGGTACCTGGTAGTATGAGATAGTTATGTGACTGTTCACCTTGTAGCATGTCAGTGGTGGATTTATACTCCCAATGGATCAAAGAATGATGTAGAGTTCACCCTGCAGTGAATGGGTACCAGGTGGTATGAGATAGTAATGTTCACCTTGTAGCATGTCAGTGGTGGATGTATACTCCCAATGGATCAGAGAATGATGTAGAGTTCACCCTGCAGTCAATGGGTACCTGGTAGTATGAGATAGTAATGTTCACCTTGTAGCATGTCAGTGGTGGATGTATACTCCCAATGGATCCGAGAATGATGTAGAGTTCACCCTGCAGTCAATGGGTACCTGGTAGTATGAGATAGTAATGTTCAACTTGTAGCATATCAGTGGTGGATGTATGCTCCTAATGGATCAGAGAATGATGCAGAATTCACCCTGCAGTGAATGGGTACCTGGTAGTATGAGATAGTAATGTGACTATTCACCTTGTAGCATGTCAGTGGTGGATGTATACTCCTAATGGATCAAAGAATGATGTAGAATTCACCCTGCAGTCAGTGGGTTCCTGGTAGTATGAGATAGTAATGTTCACCTTGTAGCATGTCATTGGTGGATGTATACTCCCAATGGATCAGAGAATGATGTAGAATTCACCCTGCAGTGAATGGGTACCTGGTAGTATGAGATAGTAATGTTCACCTTGTAGCATGTCAGTGGTGGATGTATGCTCCTAATGGATCAGAGAATGATGTGAACAGTATGTTGTTCCATTCCTTCTTTTGTTTGTGACATAAACATAAGAGAATGGAATCTGGAGCATTATGAAAGGATTTTATTGTAATTATTATTAATATGATTATTTTTGTTCTTGTTCTTGCTGAAAACAAGGAGTATTGGTACTATTTTCTACTAAACTTTAATACTTAATTATGACCTTATGACAACGGTATGTCCTTTGAGTACCAATGTGTGTTTGTAGTCCATGAAATAACTGAATATGCAAAGTAGCATTTGCTGCAAATCTAAAAATAATATACACATTGACTAAACTGCTTACCCATCATAAATAAACTAAAGGATTTTGTTCTTCACATTGTTTCATAAAAGCCATCAGAAGCGGTTAATACAATTATCTTTTAAAATTTACCCAATGGAATTACCAATAAAACAAATCTGGAACAAGAATATGATTAAACATTGAAAGAGACAACTGTAGAAAAAGCGAAAATTTCAAACTTGGAAAGAACAAATGTCACAGTTCAACATGGAATCCCCACTCAGACTTATTTTAACTCCTTGCCTATCAGTCTACATTAAATCCCCTTAATGACAAATGTAACAGACATAACGTTTTTCAAAATGTCATGGTATTTTGTTGGGCAAATTTAGTTAGTTAGTTAGTTAGTTCTTTAATGCAGGATAAAGACATATTTATCTTCTTGGCAGAAAGAGACTGGAGTACTACACAAAGGTCATGTTAAACAACAGGATTTGGCTCTGATTGTCTTGTCTCCCAGGGGCCATGATGTGTGAGCTTACAATGGGGGAACACAGTGTTCATGGGTTTGGGCGTTCAATATCAAACAGGATTTGGCTAATATATATTTTGTCTCCCAAGGGCCATAACGTGTGACCTTACAACGGGGGAACACAGTGTTCATGGGTTTGGGCGTTCATATCACACAGGATTTGGCTAATATTGTCTTGTCTCCGAGATGCCATTATGTGTGAGCTTACCATGGGGGAACATGCTGTTCATGGGTTTGGGCGTCGGCTTGAGCCCCCATGTCGTCAGGCTGCCGTCAGAGTGACTGCACATGAACTGTTTCCCTTCGTGGTGCCAGGCAATGGAACGGAGAGCCTACAACAAACCCGAACCAGACAGGTAGACTTCAGAAACAGACAGATCCAGCACCATCTAGTATGTATATTCAAGAACTCTCTCCTCTACTCATCCATTCTACAACAAACCCGAACCAGACAGGTAGACTTCAGAAACAGAAAGATCCAGCACCATCTAGTATGTATATTCAAGAACTCTCTCCTCTACTCATCCATTCTACAACAAACCCGAACCAGACAGGTAGACTTCAGAAACAGAGAGATCCAGCACCATCTAGTATGTATATTCAAGAACTCTCTCCTCTACTCATCCATTTTACAACAAACCCGAACCAGACAGGTAGACTTCAGAAACAGAGAGATCCAGCACCATCTAGTATGTATATTCAAGAACTCTCTCTCTACTCATCCATTCTACAACAAACCCAAACCAGACAGGTAGACTTTCAGAAACAGAGATCAGCACCATCTAGTATGTATATTCAAGAACTCTCTCCTCTACTCATCCATTCTACAACAAACCCAAACCAGACACGTAGACTTCAGAAACAGAGAGATCCAGCACCATCTAGTATGTATATTCAAGAACTCTCTCCTCTACTCATCCATTCTACAACAAACCCAAACCAGACACGTAGACTTCAGAAACAGAGAGATCCAGCACCATCTAGTATGTATATTCAAGAACTCTCTCCTCTACTCATCCATTCTACAACAAACCCAAACCAGACAGGTAGACTTCAGAAACAGAGAGATCCAGCACCATCTAGTATGTATATACAAGAACTCTCTCCTCTACTCATCCATTCTACAAAGCATCCACTCATGTAAAGTTCATGAATTATTTGATAATAATAATAATAATAAATGGATATTTCCCATGCGCCATAGTCCATCCAGAGCATGCTCAAAGCGCTACATATAAAAAGAGTCACTAGAGTTCAAGAGGAAGATATGACGATTCGTCAAAATGACCATGAGAATATTTCGCAGTTATAGGTTGCAGACTTTTTTGAAGAGGAAGGTTTTGAGTCCGATTTGAATGCTTCTAAGGATGAAGCATTTTTTATGGGAGTAGGAAGACTGTTCCATAGGGTTGGTGCTGCAAATTTGAATGACCTATGGCCAAAGTGTTTGTGACGAACTTGAGCACATGTTTCATACCAAAGAGACATTTCATCCACAAAACTTTGACTTTGCAACAAAGCAATTGATCATTTGGATCAAGAGTTTACACAAATTTCAAACACAAAAGCATTTAAGATGGAAGATGACTAATCATTAATGGGTTTTTGAAATATCAGCATATTAACAGCTGTTCCCAACAATAATTGCAATATCAATTATGTATGTACTTTAACAGCCTCAAACACAGAGATGGTTGCACCGAAAACATATCTTTCTGTCAGGTAACATGGACCCACCAGTGCTTATTGGCAGGGTTCTTTTCTTAATGTATTTATCAACTTGTTAAGCACAAAAGTCAGTTGTATTTATTCTTAAATTTGAAGGTCAAAACAGTTACAATAAGAAATGAAGAATATAAGATCTATTTTCAAAGTTTTAAATATGGGGTTTTTGATAGCTGATCAAGCTATGATAAAACATGTTGGTTGCAAGTAATAATACTAATTAATATTAGTTGATTTCTTAAGCTCCTAGTATCCACCAACATGTGCCCACTGGTGCTATGTCAAAGTTAAACCCAAATCAAAGCGATGCACACATATACACACAATTCTGAAAGTCTACTCGAATGCTGAGCAGAAGAGGTGGGGTTTAAGGAGAAACTTGAATAGGTCTTTAGATAAGCAAGTAAAACAATGGGCCAATCAAGTTACCTGAGACAGGTATATTGTTCAACCAAATATATTACCATCTCATGCCAACAACATCACATAAACTTTCAAAAACAACAATTCCTCTCTTTACGTACAAAATTCGATTTCACTTCAAAACATTTCAATAAACATGACTGGTGCAACATTCAGAAAAATAATTTAACTAAGAAAAGAAATGTCCACTTTTATTGGAACTGGAACTACTTTTTTCATAAATGTACATCAGAATCTCCCTGGCAGCTGTTTGTTTGCTACACAAGCTTGAGTCTCACCTCCGGGGAACTGTATCTGGTTTCAGCAATCTTGTTCTTAAGATCCCAGAGCACAATGGTTCCAGATTCAAAACCTATTAAAAGCTGCGAAAAGACAGTGAGAAAGTAGAAATCAATGCACTTGTACACTCGGACAGTCAGTGAAATGGCTTGTAGACCTTAACAACATGTAATGTCTTCTAGCCAGACAAAATCTGCACATTTAAGTCACACTCTTGTTGATGAGTCAGTTGTAAGGCTTCCTTGTTAAAATTGATGGCAGGGATCTCAAGGTTTTTGTCAAATAGAATTTTTTGCTGTGCAAAAAAGCCTCCAGTGGTATTTTTCCTTGGGACTGTGGACAGCTTCACCAGTTGTAATGTTTTTGTGCATTTGGGGAACAGTTGTGTAATATTGTGAATGAAAACACATTCAGAGAATATTTTGAATCAGTGTGAACACTTTTTCTTGGGAAAAGATTTTACTGACAAATTGTTTCTAGACAGATCTATTGAAACAGTTTGAAACGGTTGCCAGCCAGGAAATTCATGGCAAGAAACCTTTTCAACGAGTGAGTGAGTTAAGTTTTACGGCGTTTTTAGAAATATTCCAGCAATATCACGGCCCAGAAATGGACTTTTTCGACAAGTGATCCTAGACTTTCATCTTGCTTCTGAAATATCTCATATGAAAATACCATTGAATCGTCAAAGGTATCAAAATAATCATTTTAAAGGAAAGTAAGATTTCTTCACTTTTTAATTACTGATAACCTAATTCTATCAAGTTACAGATGCAAGCTGAAACATACAAAAGCAGATAATTCAGGATTATGTCTGTTTAACTATACATGAAGCTGACACACCAATGAACACAATCAGGATGAATCTAGAATTTGAACCCATAATTACAGGATACAGGCTGACTAAGGGAAGCAACAGAAAATGAATTCCAGCACAAAGATGAGATCATCACGCTGAAGACCCAGGTTCGATTCCCCACATTGGTACAATGTATGAAGCCCATTTCTGGTGTCCCCACCATGATATTGCTGGAATATTGCTAAAAGCGGCGTAAAACCACACTCACTCACTCACTCAAAGACGAGAGAGGTTCAATGGGATCCACCTTAGTACACTGTGTTATAGAAATTATGAAGAGCTACTATTCCATCTGGAAAGTTATTTCATTCACTGAATTATTTTTCATTTCATTATTTACCAAAATTAACTATTAATGTGAATGTACATTTAAAAAATTCCGTAAGGCTTCCTTGTGTAATGTTGCAAACAACTTAATCAAAATAACACTATTATCATGTCAGTTTGTCCTTGTCTTATAGTAAAGAGAGTCAAAAGACATTTTGAACCAACTTCTAAGCTCTGTATTAGTACAGTTATTACAACTGGTTAATCAAACTATAGTGTGTTGCCAGTGAAAATGTACCGATGAATTTCACTTTAAGCAAAAAAGTAAATCAAATAAAGTGAAATTATGATTGCGAATACTCATAATATATGTTGCCGATTGAACTTTTAAATCTCATAATTTTATTCAACTTAGGATAAAAGTTGTTTAACAAACGTTCATAGTTTCAAGTCGCTATTATTGGTTTGTATTACAAGGGGTACGCGCAGTAGTTGGAATAGTGAAACAAATGCATGTGCGGTACTAATGAGCGTTAACTTAGACTACGGTAGAAACCAACCCTTCTTGTTCTCGGGGTTTCATTTAATGTGCATACCCCCTTGTAATATATACCAATAATAGGGAAATGAAACTATGATTGTTTGTTAAACAACTTTTATCCTAAGTTGAACAAAATTCTGAAATTTTAATGTTCAATCAGCAACATAAAGTTATGAGCATTGGCAATCTTCGTTTCACTTTATTTGATTTACTTTTTTGTATAAAGTGAAATTCATCGGTACATTTTCACTGGAAACAGACCATAACACTAAAAAGAGAATAGTTTATCTATACTACTCACACTTTGCTACATGAGTAACCATAAAAATGGTTTTATGGCACCAATCAACCATTTTGCAAATGGTGGAACAAGTCATTGACAGTACACAACACCTGTGAATAGCAGGTATGGGATCCACAAGATGCAGTGACATACTGAAACCTAGGATCCATGCTTTCAATAAGCTTAGATATTTAAACCAAATTAGACCCCACATCATAGTTTTTGTTGAATCAATGGTTTCATCCTTAGCAAAGTGTGAAACTATGCATAGTATATGTCTTACTGTAAGCGACAAAAGATATTTGGCACCAATTTTTAAAATCTGAATTCTTTGAAACAGCTCTTGTTTCTGCATCACAACAGATATTTCCAAGATAACCAGTTAAGTAGTAGTTAGGACTACACGGTATTACCAGAATACGGGTATATCGCAATACACTTTTTAAATGATACGCGTTGAAATATTTTTTCTGAGAACCATTATATTGGGTAAAGAACATATATGAAGTTTTTGTGATTATCTTTATGGTTTAAATTAAAATCTACACAGACTTTCATTCACAACAAATGTTTTCCTTCATTATTAATAACAAAATGGCATACTGTTTTGCCATAAATTGTATAAAAAAGAAAACAGAATCCATCACTATGCCACCAATTTTGAGATTGCTGTTATCAGAACCAGAACATATATGTTTAGGGACTTGGAATGTAGAAAATAGGATTGTCTTTCACAATTAGTGTCACTCACTGTCAAACGCTTCAGTTCCCAATATATTGCAATATGGGTACCTGAATCGCAATCTATTGCAATACAATTTATTTGCCATACACAGCCCTAGTATTTATACATAGTGCACTATAATCTTGATATACTTATTAACATACCTACACTAGCATCTGGTACACTGACAAATGTTCATGTAACACATAATCGATATCACAATAATCGATATCACAATATATATCAGCCCCCAGAAAACTTTGACACCTTATGCAGGCAATTATAACTAGCCAACCCAGGACTGCTGTGTCAGCGATATTCACACATGTCCACATCTGTATATATGATATCATCGGGTATCGACAAACATGTCATATCTTTCATTGGGTATTGACAGCGTACGTTAAGACTCATCCAAGTTTTACTCTCGTGGGTCGAGTCGATGTGTTCGTTTTTACCGTTTATGCCAATATGAAAACATTTCTACCTCTTGGCTGATTCAGGTAGCTTATTGTGTTCACGCTGCCCCACATGGGTCATGCCTGTCACAACCTTACCACATTGACACATGTCTCAAATACCATAAGCGACATGTTGCACACTTGTGCATTATTCAGTGCAATAGAGTTCATACATAGAGAAGCCTGCATTCATAATAAAAATCGGTAAGACATGTTGGCAAGTTGAAAAAAACCTACACTGGGTTATAACTAGACGAACACCTAGTCTCTAGTGTTGGGAATTGGTTGAAATCTCACAATTGATGATTGATTCATTACCAACGAACAATCATCGAAAAAAATTGGTTAGCATCATTTTTCAGATTTTCCTATCCAGGTTGTTATTGCAGATATGTATAACATGATGCAACTTGCTACTTTAAAGTGATGACTAATATATCATGAACATAAACTTCCCGGAGTCTTCAAGAAATATTCAGTCATGGCTTTTCAGTTAGTGAAGTGAGTTTTCTAAGAATTAAACACGTTTTCAGGCCCTGACAACTTCAACGATATGTTCCATTGTCAAGTATTTCAAAGACTAAAACAGTAGTTCCAAAATCGTTTATGTTCAATTATGAGAAAATGTGATCGATTGCTTGGTCGCTTGGTCACTGCGACCAATCTTCGATTATTTCAATTAATCGGAACACCACAACTAGTCTCTGAATATATAATTTTGACTGTAATAAATAAACCCATTTAAATTAAAAAGGAGTCCCATTTAGGGCTTTAGCATTACCGGGAAGGCTAGGCAGTAGGGACAATTATGTGGTTCAGGGCCTGTGAGACAGCCTAGATAATAACTAACAGTGATGTACTGTATATGACCGTCTATAAGCCGAATTTTGAGGACCAAAAAAAGCAGTCTGTAGAAGGGGGTCGTCTTATCCATGGGTTACGCTTTCGTCAAACAGTTTTTGCTCTATAAATTAATTAAGATTACCGTGTGTATTTGAGCCGGAAATAGCAATCAGCTGCATTTTTGCACACGTTTCTCGGCGAACAAGTTCAAACATGCACAATAATATAACGGGATGAAATCTGACGCAGTCGTCAGTAAAATATAATACAGAATACTATTATTTAACCCAAAGAAATATATTCTAGCATTGTGTAATTTTATTTACAGTTTTTATGTAAAATATATATAATCAACACTAAGGTTATACGGATCCTCATGAACGTGGTAAGCACATGGAATGGGGTAAAATACGGACGCCATTTAAATTCACACATTTTTACCGATGTTACTGTAAACTAGCAGTCAATGGAAAACGAGGCGGTAATCAGTTCGTGCTTGTTGAATGGGGTAAAATAAGCAAGCCAGTTTGTTGCTACAATAAATATGATATTTAGAGAAGCAAAATATATTATGCATTTTCTGTCAACTACACTTCGTTTCGATCCGTGAGTAGACACAATGTATATGACAGTGAATTCTTTGATTAATGTGGACCAAAGTTATAATTATTGGTAACTGCCAGTTGTCTGTGGTCTGTGTTTGCCGCGATTAGGACCCCATCGCGGGGGATCGACTTATGCACGAAACATACCATTTTTACACTGATTTCAAGGGTCAAGTTTGGGGGTCGTCTTATCCATGGGGTCGTCTTATAGACGGTCATATACGGTACTTTTGGGTTATCAAGTACAATGTGCGAAGCCCATTTCTGGTGTCCCCAACCGTGATATTTCCGGGCCGCGTTTCACAAAGCGATCATAGCGCTACAACTGTTGTAGCTCCCACACTTTAACATAGAATTACGACAGTCATAGCACTAAGATCACTTTGTGAAACAGGCCCCAGGAATATTGCTCAAAACAATAAAATCATACTAAGTCACTTAAGTGGGTAAGTCTGAAGTAAAGCAAGCATTCTTTGGAATATTTCACCCATATCAGAATA